AAGCGTGGGACACGGTCTAACGCGAAATTAGCTAACTTCCAAGGCTGGATAACGCAACGGAGTCAAGAGCTGGATATCAGGACTAAGCCGTTTTGTTCTACGTTGCACCATTGCGGTCGTGTAAGCTGCAATACCCCGCGTACCACCCGGTATACCAACTTCCAAACTGACTTACCCAAATTTACATTTACCTTGTCGAGAAACCAACGGAAGATCGTATCCTTATCTGTTGCAGCTTGTCTGCAAACGGAATGTGATATTCCAGACAATTCCTGTCAACTAACGCGCAGATGCATACAGCATAAAATCACCGCCAACTCCATTCATTATTTTTGCAAACGATGATATAATACTCCTCGTAGAATTTCATTTCACACTCATAAATTTCAATGCTTTAACTGCTGTTACCCATATCTGAGTGATACATAAATTTTATGGAGGATACTTTTAATACTTGAATGAGGAATCACCAGACTCCAACCGATTTATTTCCTTAATTATTCAATCTAATTACCAAACGTGTTGGAATAGATAAACTATGATTTCCGGGGATGAAAGTTCCGTTCATGTAGGAAAAATTAATCTTGTCTTTGGAAATAGAATCCATTTTCTGATCGAATCTCTGGGGTTGGTATAATTTTCTAATTCACGAATGCACGATGAATTGCTCATGAGGGAATGGAAGTTACATGATCATTAATCATTATTCTGTTATTTCTAAGAGAACAACGAAAGGGTTGATCATCTGTAGACGCGAGCTTAATATCTTTATTTTAAATTAAAAGATTCTGTTCCACCGTTTGTATCGTGTGTAATATCGATTCGTGGTGTCCCATCGTTCGCCTTACTTCAATGAATTTGGAGATTGGCGGCTATTGGAATTGGAAATGAAATTTGGTAGACATACAAATGGAGACTAGCAGGCGCTAACACGTAACGAGAGAAATGTATAGTGTGCTGGCTTGCCAATCGATTCTACTACAACCGATTTATGTTTACGACTATTGGAATAGGTATAGACGACAGAAACTCGCAGTGTTTTGTGGGAAATTATCTGGTCCCGTTAAAATGTTACTAGTTAAACACCGATGTAACATAAAATACAGCTGAAAGGTAAAATATTTTAAATTTGTCTTTTGAATTTTATTCGTAACAAAAATATGTAGTAATTTAATAAGTGCCAATTAATAATTAATGAGAAATTATATTACATCGTGTGATGAAACTTACCAAAGTTCCACCTTTGCTTGAGAAAATCATCAAGTTTTAGTATTTCGTCGTGATTTATCTTCGGGACAATAAAAAGCTTCGTTACACCTCCGTCTGGCTTGAAAATATGATGCATAGTGTTAATAACGTCCGTAGTCTACTTCGTAGCTCCGTATGGAACATCCTACCAGCCGCCACCTCTGTCACAGTTTTTCCCTCTTTCCGTTCGGTTACTGTTTTCCTCCTTCCTGCTTCCGTTATGCGTTGTTTCATTCGTTTCGCCCATGTATCCGCTTCCCTTACGCTTTTTTCCGAGTTGATTCAATTATTTAAATCAAACATTTGTTTCTCTAATAAACCACGGAAACACGTTCTGTTTGCACTTCAAAGTCTACGTAGGACATTTAAATAACTACAGAACATTATATTTCTTAATCGCGAATGGATTGTCATATTTAACTACTGTATGTTTAATAATGTTTCGAAAATTAAGAATAAAGAAAATTGATCTTTCATTCTATTTTGGGAAAATCAGAGAAGTTTAAGAAATAAAAGACTTTGAATGGTGGCAGATGGTGGGTTTTTGGATATTTGATGGAGTCTAAGCCTTTAATTATAAAAATCAACTCTCTGACTACTTTAAAAGTAGTTTTAAATTCGAGCATTGCGTCATCTATAAAAAGGTGGTTGAATCTACTCGACAATTTATCGATCGATTATCCGAAACATGTGTCGAAGTCGGTAATGAAGAAAACGCCTTCAAGAAAAATCTCAAAGCCGCCTTTATTAAAACATGCTCGTTGTTCCCCGGGTGAAATAATATCGGCATGCAGCGTCACCGGTACCTCGGGGTTTCAGACACCCCGAATACCGTAGTGTCGGGAGGCAAAGAGTGTCATCGGTGCTTCGGGGTCCCTGACACCCCGGATGCCAAAATGTCGGTATGCAAACAATGTCACTGGTGCTTCGGGGTCTCTAATACCCCTGGATAAAATCAGGTCCGTGTGAACAGGGCACAACAAGTATAATTATTTTCCAGAGTTTACTTAATTTACTTCATTTTTATTTTTTTTGGTTATTAAATAAGCTCATCGACGGGGAATAACATTTATGATTATATCCCCTTTCTGGGTCTCAGCCGAGGACCCCATTTATTTTACTTTCCCCAGTTATTTATATAATTTTATCCCTCATTATAGGCCAAGGTTATCTCAGTATCCCTTACATCCATGCATTCCTTAGATTCCTGCAACCTTAAAACATTTTTTTTTTTTTTTTTTAACGTGGTGGAAATCTTCAGAAAGACACCTTCAGCCCCCCCTGGGGAGGGGCCGGAGGTAGTGTGTTTTTACCCACTAAAACCACCACGGTGGACTACACTAGGGCGGTAGGGAGGGTCCTCTGACCCTCCGCCATGTGCCAAATTCCGCCGACATCGGGGACCACACTCGATGCCGGCACTCCTTGGGCCGCGTGCAGTGGAGACCGGGGCCCCAGCCCCGGATCCCTGCGGAATTCCTTTACGTCCCTCGTTCCGTTACATCTCTGCATCCCTTACATTCCGGCATTCTTTTCATCCCTGGATTCCTTTCATGCCTACATTCCTTTCATCCCTACATTCTTTTTATCCCTACACTCTTTTCATCCCTAGATTCTTTTTATCCCTACACTCTTTTCATCCCTACATTCCTTACATCGATTCATCCCTTACATCTCTACATTCTTTCCATTCCTACATTCTTTTCATCCCTACACTCCTTTCATCCCTTCATTCTTTTCATCCCTGCATTCTTTACATCTCTGCATCCCTTATAATAAATATATTATAAAGACTGCTTCGAGTAAAGGTAAGTACAGGTAAGTTAATTCCTTTTCTCACCGCCAAAGGGCGCTGATTCGACATCGAAATTTTAGTTCACATTTTTGCCGCAAGAGGGCGCTGTTCTTTTTGAGAATTTCGCGAAAATTTTGAAAAAACAGCGCCCCCTAGCGGCATAAACGCGAACTAAAATTTCGATGTCGAATCAGCGCCATCTGGTTTTAGAAAAAAGAACTAAATCATGCTCAATTTTTGGCCCTCTAGCGGCAAAAATGTGAACTAAAATTTCGATGTCGAATCAGCGCCATCTGGTTTTGGAAAAAGGAACTAAATCATGCTCAATTTTTGGCCCTCTAGTGGCTAAAATCTGAACTAAAATGTCGATGTCGAATCAGCGCCCTCTGGTGGCGAAACGGGAACTAAATTTGTATAAAATCGCAGGCCTTATAGCCGCAAAAATTTCAGCTCAATTTCAGGGAGGTACTGGGATGTATGGAATGCAGGAATATAAGTGGTGCAAGGATGTAAAGGATACAGGTATGTAAGGGATGCAGTGATATAAGGATGCAGAGATATAGTGGAATCAGAGATATAAAGAGTGCAGACTGAAGTAATAAAATCGACACGTTCGTCTTCCTACGGAGTTTATTCAATAAGCTAAGAAGATAATTACAGCAAATTAAATGAACGCAGAAAATAAAATAAGGGTATATGTATGCCTTTAGTTACCTACATGAAGCGAGCCGGAAGGAATAAGAGAAAGAAAAGGAACTCGGTTTACAATATTTATAAATAATATATAATGTATAAAAATATATGAAATCATTTATCTTGTTATTTTTGTTATTTTATTATAAATGATCTTCAGCATAATGACAGTTGCTCTAAAAAATTAAAAGAACTTTTGCCCATAGAATATGAAATGTAGAGAATTTAAACGATTTCCGCTATACGTATCGCGTCGATACGCTCTCTGTTGGCAAGAGTCCTGAGTATATTTTGCGCATGCGCACTACAATTATTTATTATAAATCCAAACCTGTAGATAATTAAGAAATTATTCACTCACAAACAATGAAGATGATATATTTGTAAATCACAAACGATTTCCAATGAATTACAGTTATCAGTTATCGCAAAATCTGTTTCTTATAAGAAATTACCAAAAAGTTTCGGCTCACATCATGACTGAAATAAAATTGCTAATTACAAAAGAAGTAATTTGTCACAAACGTTAAAAATAGACTCACAATCAATCACAAACAATTTACAAATGAAATACACAAAGAAAAATTAAAAATAATCATATTTTATTATTCCTTCCGGCTAGCTTCATGTAGGTCGTCCTTTTCACACTTTGTTTCACATTTTGCCAGTTACATTTTCCTTTACATTTTCGTATTCCCTAATACCCCAGGTTGATATCAGGTCGATATTCAGAGAGCGCCACCGATGCATCGGGTTCCCTGATACCCCGGATGCCATAATGTGGGTATGCAAAGAATGAAACCGGTGCTTAGGGGTCCCTGACACCCCCAGGATGATATCTGGTCGGTATCCAAAGGGCGTCATTGGCGCACGGGGTCCTTGATACCCCCGGATGAAATCGGGTTCCTATGAAGAGGGCAAAACCAGTATAATAATCATCCTCTAATTTCTTTCCGGAATATATTTAATTTACTTTATTTTTTTTTTTTGCTTATTAAATAAGCTCATCGCAGGGGAATAACATTTGTGATTGTACCTCCCTTCTGGGCCTCGGTTGAGGATCCCTTTTATTTCACTTTTTCCAGTTATTTATATAATTTTATCCCTCTTTATGGGCCAAGGCCCACGCTCCCTAACTATTTATTATCCTTCCCTGTTTATGGACCAAGGCCTTCCTTGGCAGATATTTATTTCTTCATTGCTTTTATGAGCTTCGCGGGGACTGCCACTAAATCACTGTATCTCCGTATCCCTTGTGAAGTAATATAGATAATTATTTTGAATTTCGTATCAAAAAAGCTGTGGCAGAAAATCAATCTTAGTTGGTATAACAGAATGTGATAACAATATGATAACGGGGCTCTGTGGTACAGAAAATGATACAACTTTTGGACGTGGCAGCACCGGTGTTCGTTAGAAGAGGTTTATAGAACTAGAGAAAATTAATATTCCGTGGATAACAGATCTGGTTAAAGGTTATATATTGTAAAAGTATAACTTTCCGTTTCCAAATTTGTTATTCAACAATGCAGCATCCATTTCGAGTATCAGTTGTTTTAGCAATAAATTTTTACTTTTATTATCAATGTATCGTGCATCCACGAGAAGTTCAATTATATCGGCCTCTCCTTCCCCTTACTTTGGAGTATTCTAACCAATTAGAAAAGGTAAATATTATTAGTTAAGAAACTATATTAGATAGTGCGAAGTAAAAACTAGAACTGAAGTTATTCTCGTTTTCATCTTCTCATCAGCAATAAATTTAATTGATATTAATGTTTATATTTAGGCAAATGTTGCTTATTTTAGATGTCAATTTTGTTTCAGAATGCATTAGGAGAAGTACGTGGATTTTAAAACAATGGGCTATTGACAGGATAAGTCAAAGTACTTTTAGCTAAAAAGCAGATTCTTTTGCAAAGAATGCTGCATATTACATTGTACAAAAATGGTTTGAATTAAACAATAAAATGTATGTGTATAATATATGTATTTATAATCGTTATAGTCATTGAGATATAAAGTTAAATGAATTCATAAAGAATGGTTTATTTATTTCTAACTTCTGTAATATATTTGATGCAATTTGATGTATATTATTTAATACGAAAATATTTTTTATATTTTTAATGTTATCACATAAATATAAAAGTACATAGGTTTAAGAAAAGGATGAAATTAATGGATAAAAAAATAATTGTATTAGAACAGAAGTCAGAGTTATGAACTGCCAATATGTATATTTCGTAACTTCACTTCTTTTTTATTGAATTTTTAATTTTTATTTCGAAAATAGTTCGTGGCTTCGGTTCTAAGAGCAAGAAGATAAGGTACTTAAAATAGGAGGAAGATATTTAAATATCAAGTTCAGCTTTATAGGTTTTGATGATTTATTAGAGTCCCTGGGTTACCTTCCCCTGAGGCAGCCCATTCCAATAAGAAAGCCATCCTTTCTCAATTTTTTAATATTTACCATCTTATATCGCATACACTTTTTGTTCCGCTGTCCATTTAAGAGCACCTTTTGGATATGGTACATTTATGCAAATGAGGAACGAGCAAACTGTGCGAACGGACAACGGGAATGAGATACTCAACATAAAATCAAATATTTTTATATCGGTGTGTATCGTTTCTCTACCATTTTCGAAATAACTGCGCTAGCATTATTCGATTAGTTTCCTAATTTGTGGAGACACGATAACGATGCTTCATTTCCAGCATAAACTGTTCAAATTTCCGATACACTAAGCAATGTTTTGTCACGATTATTGCTTAATGTACAGAGCAGATTCCACAAGGTGGAAAATCCTATCGAAAGGATGGACGCATTTTATCGCGTCTCCGCAATGTACAATGGATAACGGCGCCTCAGATCCTAAAACTTTAACATTTATAAAAGAAGGACGAGTAGCATTCTGTTCGTGAAACGAGCACCGTTTCTTTGCTAATCCTTTCATTTCACCTGGATTTTCGGAACAAACAAAACTATACGCTTGATCCGTACATCTTTCCTAACAATTCAACGCGTCTCAATATTTTAAATCAACGAAGAACGAATGGAAAAATAACACATGATCAGAAAGATCAAGGAGCGCATTGTAACGGACGATAAATGGGGATCGAGAATAATGAATGCGTATAGAGTGGAGATATTTTTAAAATTTTTGAATGAACTAGGCGTTTCGAAAATGCGTCATTTTTGTTGCCGCTTCGCATTTCGGCGGGGATTGATTCTATCGGGTTTCGCAAACGAATCATTGAAAAATTATATAAATATGTCTAGCTATGTTAAAGTCATCGGATTTCTTCAAATTCGCTGAAACACGAGGCAACGTCGGGTCACAAATGTATATCATGATCATATATATACATATATGTATGCAATGCATGTATGTATAATATGTGCAATCGTATGTGCAATATATTCTGCGATTACAACGACTAAAATGCCATAATATCTTACACGTGCGCGTACTGTCCATGCGAAAAATGATAAATTACAAAAAGATAGCCGAGGCAACAAACGGACGCTTCGTATAACGCCGGCGCGACGAAGATCCATGCTGTGTAATTACAATGACAACAATGACGGTGATCGTGATAAAGACGGAGATGATAGAAACAATAGCAACAACAATTAGCTGTATCTCAGTTTCGCTTTCTTTTTCTTTTCCCTTTTTACCGTTAAATCACCAGTCGATAATCGAGAGGCTTTCGATAAAATGAACGATGGACGTACAACTCAGCGGTAATTTTAGGATCTACGCTACACATTTTTTAACTTCCTCTATACGAGAAGCAAAATGCAACGTGTCGATATTCAAACGAAAAGATTTCAAAAATTACCAGTCCTCCCGGTTATCGATGATCATTATCAGTAGACGGCGAATTTAATTAGGGCAATTACGGCGGTGTAACATCGAGTCACAATTGAAATCCTATCTAAATACTTCATGATAGTAATGATATTTAAACTTTGCCTATGTTTATGTAAGACACGACGATATGAAACATGGCACGATGATTCAACGACGATAAAACATCTGATCGATTTCCCTCGTTTGCCGTTCGTTCTCGTGACAAATCACCTCATCAATATTATTCATCATTAGCTACTGCGGTTGATCGATAGACTCTACTTATAAACAGTCTCTATCGTACCTCGTATTTCGTCCGCACGTTATCGAATGACTTTTGTCATTTAAATTCTCTCCTTCGCTCGCTCACACTGTACATCGCGTCGCGTTTTCAGGCTTATCGATCGAATCTTATCAGATTCTGAACACGCCGCCAAATGAACCGGCTATTTATCTCAATTATTTGAAGAATAAGAATAAGCTGTAGATCTCTATAAATAGATTATTACGAATCAACGCGTTAAATGTCACAGTAAAACGGCATGCTGCTACTTAGAATTTTTTGTAATTTTTTATCAATTTGATTATATCAAATTTGTGGCGCCACCCGCCGTTGATCTTCAAGGCATTCAACGTGTTAATTACGATGAACTTTATATTAAAATCGTATTTGAAAGAAAACTTTGAAGATGAAATCGTGCTAATTAAATTGCAAAATCCATTCAGTCGCACCATGCAAACGCGAAGAAATCGTTACAATCTATAAACTCCTTCGATGATGCACACCGTGCCGAATAATGACAATGATGCATGACCCGATCAAAATTGTCAAACGATCAATGAAATGTTAGAGAGAACGAAGGAGAAGTTGCACGGGGATTGTTTGATGAAATAAGAAATTCTATATCGAGAAAAGGGATAATCGAAAAATCATGCATACGTGTTCGAAACTACGGATAAGTACAAGCTCTCCGTGTGAGTGAACGAACGAAAGCGAAACGTTTATTTAATAAAGATATCTGAGGGTTTGGGATATCATAGGTATTATTCTCTTTTTTTTCTCTTCTTTATCTTTGTGTTGAATGTGCGTGTTTGACTCGGATACAATTGCTTTTAGGTTCACCTATTTATATTCGGAGGCTGCGCAATGGCGGTGATGTAATTATAATGTACTCTTTCTCGTCTTTCTCCTCGTTCGTTTTGTTTAGCGTGAAAAATTTTGATAACAACGGTGGTATACTCTCTCCTTTTCTTTGTGGGGACGACGAAAAAGAAAAAACCGTACTCTTTACTCGTTAAGATATTAATTACCTAATAATCACGCAGTCATCCGCATGTACGCACAGAGTTACGCGATCCGTAATAATTAGTATTATCTTTTTTTTTTGTCGTTTTTTTTTCTTGCAAATGCGCCTCTCGTCGCATGGATTACAAATGTATCTCCTTAATATGCTTTACTTACGAAACACAAACATTCCGTCGTCTTCTTATATTTTTTTTTTTCATTTTCATTATTATCTTTTTTTAATGGTTTTTCTTTTGTTCTTTTTAATTAATATTTTGTTAGATATATTACATACGCATCGTACGATTTCTCAAGCATAGTATTGTCAACAGTTGTGTATATAATTTGTTCGTTTCCTCGTTTCATCTTTATATACCTTTCTTGCCTTTGTTAAATGGTTTCCTCTGCTACACGCTCCCGCGATACAGCAAATCTAGAGTCTGATGTTTTAAGCAATTCATACTTTCCTTTGGTTCTGCGCCTGTGGTCGGCTACCGGACACAAAAGTACCCGCGGTGACATGTCGCGTTCTCGTCGAACAAGAACTACGGAACACTTGACCCTATTACATTGTACGCGTCCCATTTTCTTTTCTCTTTTCCTCTGCTCCCTTTCCCTTGTCCTTTCAAAAACGATCGATCGACTCACGCAACAAGATCAATCACAGAAAGAAGTATTTATAAATCTCACGCTCTTTTTTACTGTCTACCCCTGGACTGTTGCGAATGAAACGGTAGATTTATTCAAAAAGCTGTTAATAACTATACTGTTCTCCTTAGATCACTTGCAGGAACTAGTTTACTGAAATATTCGAGAAGAAAAAGAAATGTTTATTATTAAATTTCCAATAGCCTTCACTTAGGAATATCCTGACTGAAACCCTTAGAGGAACAATACACGAATTTCATTTTTTCATTTTGAAATCGACCATTTGATGTGGAACAACCTAATAATAACTTATCATTTGATCATTCTACGAGATATGTATTTTCCTTCCCCATATTTTCAACCTCTCAGAGACTGTTCTCTGTCCCTAAACAAGACAGAATAATGAGAAAAACCAAGAGAAATAAGAATATCTATATTCCTACTACTATGAATCGCGTGAAAATTTCTTTTTCATTTATCCAGATGCATCCCCCTCGTTTCCGTTCTTTTCTTACTTCCGGTTGGCCATATCGACGATAACCGCGGTACCTTTCGTTCTCACACACCGACGAGACTCTTCGGACGTTTAACGAGTATAGAGAATAGAAATCGAAATGTCATTTAAAAGAGAAAAATACTGTTGTTATTGGGATCGGTGTAATCACGTGCTTTAGTGTGATTGTTGTATGGGGCGCGTATCGTATGTACATACGTGATCACGTAAATGATACTGTACGCTGATGTTAGTGCTCGAAAAAGACGCGCGTGTAACATGTGTGTGGATGTGTGTGTTTATGTGTGTACTTTAAAGGGGTAATTATCACAGAATACACGAGATATTTTCATTAAGCTTACGAGATATTAATCGAAGCGGAGAGTAGGAGGAAAAAATTGATGGCCAGTGTGGTCGACGAGGCGCGATTACCGGCTGACCCGTAAATTCAAAGGTGTCCGGGGGGGTGGAGACACAAAGGCCCGTTCCCGTTTCGTCGACACGCTTGGCCTGGATACCGAATCGCCAGCCCTTGTTTCGCAATTAGTATGTAAGTACTTAGGCAGCGGAGAAAATAGACACTTTTACAAATGAAGATGGTGGCGAGATCGCGGACCCGTGTGTTTCTCTCTGCTTTCCCATTTTTCCCCTTTCGTAATCCCTCTATCTATCATTCATCTGTTGTTTTTTTTTCTTTTTCTTTTTTCTATCCGTCCACGTTACCGACGGCTTTCCTATTTCATTCTCTGTCTTTTGTTTTTAACGCGCTCACGCTTCCGGGCTCGAAAAAACGATCTGGAACGCGTTCGCGCGCACAAGGAGTATTTTATTCGTCAGGAGTTTTCTAATCGAACGGCACAGATTTGGCCACCTGTATACGTAGATCTAAGCGTTCTAACCGCGTCGTGGAACATCGCAGTGAGCATGATGTTCGTTAAATGAAACGATTCGAAACATCGTGTCTCTATAAGTGTTCTACAAGTTTCCTTGATTAGGATCGGGCTACCGTGAAACCGGTCGGATCCTTGACGCGAAATTACGTGTATAAGAGATAATTTTGATAAAATTACGTAACCATTGAACGAACCTCTATGCGGCTGATCTGTAAAGGTACGCGTTCGAGTATGGAAAACACCTGGTTCTTCGATATAATCTATATCGTGAGATTGTGGAACGTTCCTTTTCCTGGGTGGCTCTCTATCGTTCTCTCTTTCTCTCCAAACGAATATCCCGCGCTCGCAGCTACATCAGCATTTAGACACTATACACAATACGTAAGTATATCTAGACGTACTACGTAGTAGAAACTTTTTTTTTTTTTTTTTGGTTTGTTTGTTGGATATAATCGTGTTTAATCTCTGGAATTGTATGTCTGGTCGACCTGTGCGAAGGCCGGAGAGAATGAAATTCATTAGATTCTTTTTGTTTAAAGTCGCGTGCAACTTTTGTGCATCGTCGTTAAGTTTCATCTTCTGTTTCCTCGTTTGTTCACAGTTATCTCGGGAGAGATCCGATCGAAGCTTCGTGCGAATAACTGCGACGCGTGCAGCTTTTTTGACAAGCGTCTCCGAAGTTACCGAACGACGTTAAACGCGAAACGAAGGATCATCCGTAAACGTACTGTAGCAGATCGAGGGACCATTTAACCCACGTCCGCCCTCGATTTCCTCGAGTTCGTGTTTTCATTTCTCGGGAAGGGGGAAGTCTTATGTCGTTCGAGAGCCAACGATCGACGAAACCGAACGTACCGGTGTCCACGAGATGACAACGTTTCATCTATATACAAGAGTAATATCAATGGAGTTATCAAGCGAATGGACAGAGAAGTATTTAAATGTCCGTTTTCGAAGCTTGCGTTCCACCTCGTCGCGTTTATATACTTGGTTTTGCTCGCTCACACAAAAAGCAACGATCGTCGGGAAAAAGTGTCGAAGTTAGATGATTAGTTTTTAATTACCATACAGCTACAACGATATAAAGTTTAATTTCCAAAAAAGTTTGTCCCGTCGTCGATTCGTAGATACGGTTTCGCGTTCGACGGCCACGACGACCGAGCTCTCGATTTTTAACGATATCGTACGAAAATTGGAAATCGAAGGCGGACGAAGAAGCGCTCTGTGTTCTTTTTTTTTTTTAATTATTATTTCTTCATGCTTTTCAGACGTCAAAGGGTTATCGAAGCGAGACTAGGGATGATTCACGGACAGTGTTCGAAGTCTTCGAGCGGACCTCGTTTCATCATTCGCCACAACAATCAGACTCTTACGATCTCTTGTTAATCCTTACGATAAGAACGTAACTTTACATTACAATGCCTATTTTTATTACTAACGGCGCGACCCGAGTAACGTCGTGACGCGCCTATTGGTCGTACGCAATGCTATGTTAAACTGTTATTAGAAAAAACTTCTTCGTCAACAATGTGTTTCACGTATCTACAAGTAAACTCGTCTTCCCGAACAAACGGCCTAAAACGTCGTCTCGCACGAGGGTCTATGTTATAGGTATCACGTCTCCCCCCCGTTGCAGCACGATTATTCGCATTTTCAGTATTTCGAAAGCACGACCGTTTCGTTTGCTACCACGGACCCTGATTCGATTATCCTTCGTTCTCGTAGTGCTATCACGATCCCCGTCGATTGGCTATCCACCGGGATATCCGGAGACTTCGACGAGGCGTGATCGAGCTAGACGCATCGTTACGACTAAATTCGACTCTTTCTTCCTAACCTTACGAATATTACCAAATATATTGCGTACTGGCAGCACTGTTTCCACGTTTCGCGTCTTTTCGGAACACTCTTCGATACCTAAGGCTCTCTATCCTCCTTCGTCACGGCACTCGTATGAATAATAATTAATCCGTTCCGTGTTTAACCGTGTCCATCGATCACCGTCTTGATCGTCGTTCCTCTCGAAGCGGCCTTCGAAAGGGCAATCGCCCTTTCATTTCCTCTTTTCCATCTTGCTTCCGATGGACGAACATTAGGGGAGACTCGAATCTCCGTTCGTTCGAATACGTTGTCTGACACGCTTTCCTTTTGTTTCTCGGTTCGTTTAGGGGACGGGGCTAAAGCTCTGTGATTCGTAAAAAAAGAGAGAAGAACACGCTCGACCGGAACGTGTGGTTGCTCAGGGAACAAGAAGAAGGATGTCGATCGGGCGGACGCATCTCTCGTTCCCTCGCTGGCTGACATGGTTAGAACCGAAAAAGATTCGGCCGATCGTTCTGATCGGCGATTTCTCGTGTAATTTATTCTCGTGTGTGCGTGTGTCTCACGGTGGTGTTATGGACTTCGTTCTCGACAACGACGGCCGAACGCTTCTAGTTTCCCCTGTGGACAACGCCCCTCCTGTTCTTCTTCACCTCCGAGCTCTTTCCAAACTCGAAGGACGCATGTCGCTTCGCTCTCGGCTATTAATGCTGCGTCTCCGAGCTTCAGGTAGGATTAGGCAGAGGTGTTTCCTGTCTGATGTCGCTCTTCAGCTTCACGAATTCCTTCGCTATCTCGTCGTTGTTCCTCTGCGAGAGGATCCTCAGGATCGTCCAGCCAGTTTCGTCCATTTGAATTCGTTTGCCGAGCGACAACCAACAGGCGCAAGAACCTTCCTCGACGATGTCCTTCAGCTGCATCACAGCCACACCGACCAGCCTGTCCTCTCTGGCGAAGCAGTAATCCTTCACGCAGATGTGCAACTCGTAGAAGTCGAGCTGCTGCTGCTCGTTGCCGATCATGCTACATTGGAAACGAATAATTAATGTCTCTCACCAAAGAGATCCTCCCGAGTGTCGAGGAATCTGGTTACTCACAAATCGAAGCTCTCATTGAACTGCGGCGACCAATTATTGCTCTTCGACTTCGTCGACTGCTTCCTCTTCTTTCCGGTCAAGTGCGGACCGATCAGATTCACTTCAACGTACGGCCTGAACATTCCTGTCGCAAGCTGCCATTTCAGATCGTTCGCAGCGACCACTGAAACAACAAATTTATCGATAGTACATAAGTTTCTGTTTCGATCTCGCGTAGAAAGGACGATTACCTTTCACTGTGACCTTTTGTTCGCCGGTTCCAGGATGCGTGAAGAGATCCACCTGAATGCTAACTTCTCCTACCGAACCTTCATCCGTACCAGCGGTATCTGGAACTTTATAAAAATAAACCAATCAGATTTTCCGTTCAATGGCGAAAATCTAAACGCTAGGTGCTACGAGAGAAAAAAAGAGAAAGAGAGCTTTGATCGCTTCTATTCCAGGCTAAAGTTCAAAGTTCTTAGGCTAAGATTCTATGATTGGTATCTAGTTCTAGAGCAGATTACATGCTCTAACGGTTATGCGTGAGATTCGATCGTTTGTAATATTCGTCGGAAACGACGAGGTCCTTGTTTAATCAGCGTTCTAAAAATATTTCAAAAGCTATAATACAATAGAATGTGCAAAAAGCATCAGGCCAAGTTGTTTCGTTTCGTCACAAGCTTCATCGTTTCTCGACCATCGGCTGTAAATTTCAAATATTCTTTAAAAAGTTAGTGCATAAGACTCTGGTGCTGCACTCGATCATCCTTTCTGTAACTTATTTCTAACTAATCAACAACTCCGAGTGTGAAAAGATAAAATCGAATAAAGTTGAACAGTTTCTGTAAATGGATATATCGTGTCCTCTTCGAAGAAATTGTTCGGGTGGAAATAGGTGAATGGTGATCGATCAAAGTCTAAATGTGTATACTTGTACTTGTGTAAAAGCCTTGAACAGCATAATTGAAGGATGCGTAAGTGTAAAGTTGGCAAGGTTCTCGGTAACAGCAGCAACAGCGGCGGTAGTGATAGCAGCAGCGCTACCTAATACAACTATCGGTCATCGAGAGGCTCTCAGGACGTTTCATGATTTTTTCTAAGCATTTTCTAATTCAGGGTTTTCAAATTGCCTCTTCGAAGATCACTTGATGACCCTCGTAATAGTCAGGGTATCAATGAATAAAAGGAGCATTCGTATTATCGTCCTGAGAAGGCTCGATGAATAATGCAGTAACAAACAGTCCACTACGTCCTAAACGAGCGCCTAGGTTCGAAAGTGACCGGAAGTCAGCCAAGAATTCCCGAGACTTCTGCTCTAAGGTGGCTAGTGCTCTCTGGTACCTTGTCGACTCTCTCGACGAAGAGAGGGCTTGCTCTGGCGAAGGGGTTCCTCGAGGCTTTCCATACCCTCGGCTCCTTCCCCTTCGTCGCCACCTCTCTCGCTGCTCATCGAACGTTGACGCTGACGTAGCTGTGACGCTTTGTTCAGTGGCACTGTCGCGATAATTTTTGTTACGTCGATTGTATTCGCACGAACTCATACCGTTTGGTATTCGATAGTGTCGCGATTTCAACACGAATCGTAATTTGGGCGAATTTATTATTAGGTCAACTTTTGTTTTTCATTTCGAATCAGATAAAAGGTATGTGTGCTGAGAAAGAGTGATTTAGGTCAGAGAGATTCTTGATACTCTACATTGCTATGCATTGTAAAAAATAAAAAAAATAAAATAAAAATAAAATTCGTGTTTTATCGTATGAGCCAGGTTTTAAATGTCAAGTAGAGTATATAAACGATATTATCTAACTTTATATCATAAGATTTATTATCATAATTTTATTCGATGGAAAGATTAATTTAAGAACCAGCTCACCTTGGTTAACCTGAGATGTGACGAAGGTCTTGATAAGAGTGTCCGTCGTTTGCGTGTACAAGCTCAAAGCATATCGCAAGCTCTGTAATTCTGGTGATTTCTCCAAGAAAGCTTTCTTCAGACCATTTCCACCTGCATGGAAGTACTGTTTGATGGTGTCCAGTGCAACCTCGAGAACAGCGCACTGTTTCGGGGACAGATTCTTCTCAACTTCTTTAGAAATATCCTGCACCCATCAACGTTATTTTTTATTAAATCGTCGAACGTAAAAAAAATTACAATGCGATTATCAAATCATTACCATTACACCGCTGAGCGCATTCTTCACATCAGGCTTGCCACTCATATGGTTCTTGAACAACTTCGACATGTCTTCGATCTTCGCGTTCGCCGCTAGATTCTTTGCGTTATCCGTCAGATTCTTGAACATCATCTACAACACATAAATTCACATAAATTTAAACACTCGTACAACGTGTATTCAAATCGAGATGCTTTAAAGTTTGAAAACGTACGCTCTTATCCGACATAGGTGGAAGCACGACCGTCTTTTCTAAGATCCTCATAACGATCTTCCATAACTCCTTCAGCAGCCTCTTCAGCACAGTCTTCTCGCAGGATTCAGCATACAACGATAAGCTTCCATCGAGAAGAACCATCAGAGGACGAAGCACTTCGTCAGCTTCCACTGCTACGTTGTTCCTTTGAGCTGGTTGGGACAGTTGTACTTGTCCGCCACCTTTGATGGCCAACAACAAATCACCCAGCTCCTTCACCGATGCTGTTATCCTTGGTTCTAGACTCTTCGCGAACAACATAGCCAGATCGTCGAGTGCTCCGTTCAGTTGCTGCTGAAGTTCCTTCAATATATTCGCCGCATCCTCTTCCAGTTTCTCTCCACCCATCGATTCGAACATCTTCTCTAATTGCACCCGAAGCTGCTGAATGTTGTTCATGAGAATGCAAGCCTGAAAGAAGAAAGAAACACGGGTAGACATTGTTCAAATTTTGTTATCCCGAGTATACGTACGATGCGTTCTTCCTTCAGGTGACTTGGGAATTCTTTCTTCACGATGTCGGCGTACGCGACCAACACTTTCACTATCGTCTTCGCGAACCTCTTCATATATCTCTTCCAGATCTCCGGATCGGGACACTCTAGCTTCGAGACCACGTCGAAGCACTGAGTTAATTGAGTAAAGACGTCGACGACGGAGACGCTGAACAGCGCGTGTTCGCTGCTCTTTTGGAACTGCAAGCAATTCGTAGATTAATATTAAGTTTGCCAATATTTTGTTACCTTCATCGAAAACGGATGAAACGCTTACTCCGTCCTTCTTGTCTCTGTTGAAGGCACCATGGAGATATTCCAGTGAGACGTCATCGTTCTCGTTCAGCCACTGCATCACGAACGGCTCGAACCAAGCCGGGTATTCCGGCACGGCGCCCTTGTACGGTGGCACATCCTTCACGTAGTTGGTGTGCAACCATTTAACCTTGAAATGAAGGTTCATATAGGCCGAGGATTTGCACAGTCTGTGTTGTTCGTGCTCCTCGAGCGCGTATTTCATGTCGACCGCGAACAAGGACCACATGGTGGCCGCTGACAGCTGACCGATGTTCAACTCCTGCGGGAACTGATTCAAAACAGGCGCGTAACTGTTCTTGTCCTCCTCGATCACCGAGACAATCAACGCGATCAGTTTGTGCCAGAAATCCAACGACTCCAAACTGGGTCCGTGATCTTCCGCGTCCCTTTTCGCTTCGCTCGGATCCACTTGGAACTCCCTGTTGTAGATGTCGTAGCAATTCTCGAACAGGAACTGATAAGTCGACCGCAGACAAGCCTTCACGCAATCCTTCACCACGGTGCTGGCTCTTGGTGGACTGGACAATTCTTGAACCTTCATCCGGAAGAAGGTGATGCTGGTCAACAGGTCGACCGTGCTCTTCAGGTCCATCAGTTTCTCCTGGCTCGAAGCCGGGAAGTTGTTTCTGTACATCGACAGGTCGATCCTCAACGAGTTGTGCAGCTGGTCCAGTAGCTTCACGAATTTCTCTTTCTGCGACGTAATAAATGGTCCGTGAACGAAGGAAAATGTATGTTTCTGTTTTATCGAGTTTCCATAAATTACGAGCGAGGCAAATGGAAAGGGAAGGTCGCTACGAAAATTATTAGGATTATTAAACCTGTTGTAAAAATATTGCTTCATCAGAGATTTGGTGAAACTCGTTTGCTTTATCTGATTAGATTCGAACTGATTTACATAAACTTTGACTTGGTAATACTGCTCGTTTATTATTACCAAGAACAGGTTAGGGTTGAATCTTTCTGTTGAAATCGTTTATTTACAGACACGGCAGACTTTCGTTGATAATTCAACGGGATAAGTCGACAGTACTGTTTACGATTGGTGAGAGTATATGGTCCCCGGGGTGGCCGAAACAGGAATGAACAGACAGTCCGGGGATCAACGAGAAAAATGAAAATCCAAAGGGAAGAAAAAGCACGTGAATCTCGAGGGAAGTTTTACCAACAAGAGTGTCAAAGACAATACAAGTCAAAGACTGGTATAACATAGTAGATAAAGGTTGTTAAAAATAAAAGCCTTATCTAATGCAATTTTCAACAGCTTCAGCGTGGCAGTCAATGTATCGATACCATTTATCTTGTCCTTCTTTTTCCCCTGATGAACCTAATTTTATTTCAAGCGATTCAATTTGCCACAAATTTCTTTCGACCTTGTTTCGTTAACGTCGAGCACAGCCATTTTTTTACTGGCCCTCAACGAAGATAAAGCTATCGGCTCGTATGTGTGCGTCCGCTATTCTGGAAGACGAAAGTCATGAATAATTCAAGAACGTTGAAAACAGAAAGCCTCGCCTTTTTGCTTCCCTTTTAGCAACTTTTTCGAAAAATTTGCATCATCCTATTAAAACCTCTACCCAACGAGCTAGTAAAATCTGCAGCTTTCATTTGCATAGTCAAAAGTGTCTTTGAATATTTGCTCGTTTTACAGGTCTTTAACCAATCGTTTAACAGAAACGAACGTATCCATTTTTAATGAAAATATTGAGATTCTGCTTGCCTGGCAATTTGATAAAAAAATAACCGTAATCAGAGCCTCCATCAAAGGTTCGTTCTGAATAAAAACACCATTGAAGTCCTACATTGGTTAACCGAAGAACATAATCCTTTTTTTTCATTTACAATTTAGATACACACTTTACAATGAAAAATACACCACCAAACATCCAAGTGGACGAAGGTAATTGAGTTGAAGGGGGGAAAAAAATCTTAATTAAAATCTTAATTAGACTGGGCTGTGAAGGTACGTGGTGTTCTTGGCGTTTTCAATTCCAAGTCCTGGAAAGTTGTGGTGAGAAAGAGGAGGCAGAAAAACGGCCAGTTTAATCGAAGGATTTCGCAATAAAATTGATACAACAACAGGAATACAACTTTTTCAGAATTCATTGGGAAATTGGGAAAAACTGTCGGCTGAATTTGTGTGCAACACTTTGAACTCACCCCGAAATTGCTGGCAGCGAATCGATCACTGGCCGAGACTGCGGAACTTGCGCTCGTATGGGCATAATACGCGTTTATGTTCGCCAAAAGAGTTGACATTACAGCTGGCACACCTGGACATAGATATTTCGTCGAGAGGCAGTGAAAGTGTCTGAAAAATTAATAAAAATTTGATGAGTAAAATAATCTCGACAAATGCCAATGGAATATCCTTTATCGATGCTCACGTCATAGCTTGGTAGATACTTTCGATGCCGTATCTCATCGCGAATTCGTCGACGAGTTCCTCGCCAGGCGGGTCAAAGTAGACCTTCCAAGCATCGTCTCCTTTCGCTTGAGGCAACGCGACCACACCGTCGTTTTTCTCGCACAGGCTGTGGAAAAGGTTTTCGTGCAAGCAGGTGTACTGCACGTGATAAGGCGCCACCTTTTCTTCTCCTTTGATCTCGACGCTGATGTGCAGCCTGATCGCACCGGACACAGCGCTCTTGTCCGTCCTCTTTTCCAGGTTGTACCAGACGTCCATTTCACCGCTCAGAGTTCTTACCTCGATGATGGTCTGCCCGAGGAAATCGTCGCTCTCTCTCGTCAACTTTTGCCGCAGCTTCGACTTCAGGTCATTGTCCTCGTCCCACACTCTCACTTTTATCCGATCCGACGAGTTGTGACACTCGCTGCGGATAGGGATTAAATTTCGTTACGGGATCGAGTAATTGCTTTAACGTTGATAGCGGTTGCCGATACTCGCGCGTCAACCCGCGAACAACGAAGCCGGCCTAACCGTGGCCGAGAGGCAGGAAACGTACACAACGCTTTCAATAAAATTGCCAGTTCAATTTTTCAAAGCGAAATGGTTTCGAGTATTGAGAAATAGTAAAAAGAAATAGTCTAAAATTTAAAAAATTTAAAAGTCTGAAATTATATTGAAATGAAAGATATCTAAGTGGTCCGTTGCTCGAGGGTTAAATTAATTAATGATAGAATCTGAATTTCTGGATCTCTATAAAGTTAATCTTTCAAATTTCTAGTTTTTCTCTTGATAGTACGTGACTGGAAGAGTCACGTTATTATAATGACATTACTTACAAGTAGAACTTCTCGTGCCAAACCGGATTTAATTCCCTCGGCATCGTCCTGGTTCGTTTCTTCACTTTGCCGACCTGAACCGTCACGTACGGATCAGACGTGCCGCTCTTGTCTTTTGCGATCAACCCTTGAGCGCAGATCACTGTGAAAGTTGTGCAAAATCGATCGTTAGATAATCATCTTACCTGTGTTGCCTAACACGATACGCGCTCCACATAATGTTCAGAAACTCGTCGAATTCACCACTTACTTCTGTTCCCTCGTCACTCTACTTACCCACGAGAAAGTTCAATCAAATTTCACCTCGTTCGATAAAAAAGTTTACCTGTTGCCCTATCTGAGAAAAACGAGCCTTTCATTCCTATCCCTTTTAATTTTTTAATAAACAGGCTTTCCTGCGATAATTAAATTAACGATGTTATCCACGTTTATAAAATTCAATTTCATTACACGATACGCTATATTCTGTCCTCCCGTTTGACCCAGCGATCAAAGTAGCAGTTCATCAAGAGGAGCAACTAAGGAAGTAGTAAATTTGTGAAATTCACGCGCATACGATGGAAAGAGGATTATACGGTAGATGGTTGAGAAATTTCGTGCGTTAAAACGTGTTACGATCCATTTCACGAGGTCGATCCTCTTCACGAGCGCATGGATGATTAGTCGCAATTGTGGATTATGAGTTTCCCAACTGAGCCGCACTTTTCGAAAAGCGATATAACTTTTAGTGGATCGTCAAGGGATTTTTATTTAAAAATTTCTAAAAAATATAATAAGGGTTAATTGAAGTACAAGACTGTAAATTTGCCAAAATCAAATAGGAGAATTTTCTCAATTAAAATTATGCACGGTTTAGTTGTAAACTGAAAACAATGTTTGCAAAGCTTCTCACAATTTTATTTTCCGCCTCGGAAAAGGGGCACGTCGGTTCTCTGAAAAACTTCTGGCTTGTGCTTTCATTTGCGTGAATTTCGCGGAAACATCGTTTACAGAAGAAATTAATTCCATTTCTCGCTTTAATTACAGCGTTGCATTCTCGGTTGATGGGCAACAGGTAATTACATCGACTCTCGGTTCAAATAATGTTTATCTTCACTTCAGCGTGGCATGAAAAATTATAACAATTAAACACCCTTTACACCATATTGAAATTAATGAAAGTTCCATAAAAAATTGTTTCAATCGTGATATCGTCAAATTTTCCGAACAATTTTCCTCTTACTTAATTTTCTCATCACCATAAAATACGTCAAGAAACATCAAGATACACTGATTTGGTTTGGTAATGAAATCAAAAGATCGCGGTTCGTAATTAAACGAAACCTATCAGGACACGGAAACTCATCGTATTTCCAACATAATTATCATTGATATTTTTAAACGATCATACCGATAGGCTCATGCACATCTAACAACTGAGGTCACGTTTCTGTTGGCAGCCACCTCGTAAGCGTGCAGAAGCTCGGCGTGAGTCGTGTGGGTAAGTACATTAAACAAATATCGATGGTCTAATCCAAGGTGGCGATAGAATTTTTTTCATTGTTTTTATCCAAATTTTATTTATAGGTTTGAGCAACACTTGGTTCCCCAATTGATCACCGCCCTAAAGTAGACCATGCTCGCCAAACTAACAATAAGATACACGTGTATATACATGTACATATTATATATACACACACACACACACATAAACATATATTTATCATAGGATCGACGTAAACGTGCTGCGATTCGAACATCCAGACAGACACACATGCCCATGCTACTAACTCGTTTGAATTCGCACCGCCGATTGCAGCGGGGGAGGAGTAGGACGATCGCCGATGCTTCTCGTCCTCGACGTACGTCGATTTCATACCTAATCTCATTAAATCTTCCGAGTTGTGGCCACAGTTCACTCCATGATATCGAGAGAGTTTGTGCGTGTGCTTGTGTGTGTGTTCGTTTGTTTGTTGGCTTACGTATGCGTGTGTGTTTCATTTGGAGCAGCCGTGTCCACGATGACGACCACGAACCACTCCGCGTTTCAACTATAATCGTCTTGTCGAGATACGATTTTCGGTGGATCGTTCTAATATCCGGTGTGTTCTGTGTGGTCTCGATGTTGCTTTGCCGACGAATCAAAACGTCGATACCAGGACGTAATCGCGCGATCAAACTCGCGGCGAGCTTGTTTCACGCGAAGGTCGATTAACGAAGGGTGGCCTAAGGAGCGTCCTCTAAATCGATACTCTACCAGGGGGGAAGATCGGAGAGAGAAAAGTACTCTAGAACTGGCTACTGGGTAATTGTACGGAAGGGTACTGAATTACGGTCTGCGGTAAAGGTCGTGCAAACGGGAACCCGGCTATTCGGCGAAAATTAGACGAAATTGTGTAATTACAGCAAGAACATAATTCGGACGTGGCTCGATTCTTTTCGTGACGTCTTCTCCGGTTTTTTTTTATGTTTCGAGAAATTTCAGTATAATTTTACTCTGTTCGATTAATTCGATTAAACTAATCGTCGAAACGATCATATTTACTGCTCGCAGATGAAAATTGGAAAGTGTAATCAATAAAGTTAAATGCTATCGAAACTGCAATTGCACTTTATGTCTGCATTTCTTCCTCATTTTCATCCGAAAATCCTGAGTTTCCTTTTTCTATCACGATTTTTACCGCAAATTATATACCAGCGAGCTTTGAATCGAACAGTGATCGCGAAAATCAAGGAGAAGTTTCGTAATCATCATCACCGAGAACGTACTCGTGCTTTCCAGAGATGACATCTAATTGCATCCGTTACCAGTGCAGCTTCCTGTTTATACATGAAGCCAATACGAAATATTATGCCAGGGTTGCTGTAGCTGCTTCGGCTGATCAAATTTTCAATCAACCAACTGATCAACCAATGATCGATAAATTGGTAACACTACCCCTCGATTGAGATACCGAAGTTAATTACAATGTTAACGAATATTGGGAACCTTATAAACACTGTTCACCTAATTATGTAGCAGCTTTAATTAATCCATGTTCAAGCAACCGCATACGGGTACCTATTTAATCTTCAATATTTCTTCAGTAAATTTGTTCATTATAAAATTTAAGTCGATGTGAAGTCGATGATTTACATTCTTCTCCTTCTTTTAACGTGCACGATCTGATCCCACGCACCGCTGGTGTATTTTTAAATCTATCTTCATTACGAGAGTAACAAGGAATAGTATAGTAGAGATCTAGTTTTATATCTAACGCCTAGATGAAAGTCTAACGAGGGAAGGAAGAAAGTAGATAGTTTCTATTCAACTATCGAAAGAAAACAGGGTACTAATTTTGCATGATACCGTATGAGATTGTACAATGAATTGTTGTTCAGTCTTAAATGAACGGTTCAATTTGTCCATTTGTTCTCTCGAGTTTTCTATAAAACGTTGTAATTCTTCAAATGTCACCAATATAACTGAAGAAAAAGTAAAAGTAGCATCGGATCAGGGGCAACGCTTACAAATCTGATCATTAAACATTTTCACAAAGATTAATTTTCTTTGAACGTATCAGAGAATTGTTTCAGTTTACAACATCTGTAGATACACTTGGTTATTTACAATTTACACATTGATTTTATTCGATGTCTCGTGTACTCTGCCGTGTATCACTTCATTTACATGACCCTGGATTGCCTGAAGACAAACGCGAACAATTCGGTCGAATAAACAGTACTTAATTCGTGTGGTTTGCGTGAGAACCATTTGTTAGTCGACGGTTCCGACTCGAATTGAACTAGTAGAACGTGTTTTTCCTACAAATATCGAGGATTCAGGTGAACCGTTAGCTTTGCTCTATATATGCACACAGTATTTTGCTGCAATTTCCTGTCATCGAAACATGTGCAAACCACACGATACGCAACATCGTAAACTTCAAACTTTTGTTTGCATCAAAACATTCTTTCATTTCGTAAGATATCTCGTTGAACTTCAGTATTTTGCTTCTTTTTCACACCTCGATTCCGTCGATGAAAAGCTTCATTGTCACCGTTCGGTGTACTATTCGCGTCCTTTCGACAAAACTCTACACTCGCCCCTTGATTTTGTTCACCTTTTGTTTCCCACCTACGATCATCACTCAGTTGCTTCTCGTTTCTCTATGAATATCCGTGGATCGCTGGGACCAGCTGCGATCCGCAGTCGCGGAGGCGAACGGGTTGTAGCGATTTTAATTTGCGCCCACTGAGTCAAGAGATTTAATTACTGGGGCGGAAGCGGAAGTAACGCCGACTGTTCCCCTTCCCACCTTCTCACCCAGATATCCAGCGCTCGACGACCTTTCCATCTGGAATGTCCTTCGTCCGTTACCCTAGTTTCCCTTGATACGGGCCGATTTGAAATTTGCGCTCGTTTCACGCACCGAATGAACAAATTGTTACTGTAAATTCGAGAACAAACAGCATTCGTTCCAGTGAAAATATTTCTGAAAGTCTAAGGAATAGTAAACACTGTAAGGACAGGTTTTTAGCGAACCATTGTTCGTTTAATTAACGAAAGAAAAGAATTGACATTTGTTAGACAGTCTGCTTTTACACATTCATATGGATAACTTTTATTCCCTTTCCTTCGTCTTCCTCAGAGCTTACTCTCGACACATCTTGATATTGCAATCTAGACATGTCACGTTTCAGCTTCGTCGATTTCCAAGATTTCCATGTCGTTCACGGTTCGACGTTTCCATCGACGGACCATCCTGTGGAAGAAAATTTTGGCTACGTTTGGCGCCCAACAGTACACGAAGCAAAGAGTAAAAGGAAGGAAACTGTTGACCCGCTTCGTGACGAGGCAGCAATTACTCTAATGATCGTTCTCCTTCCCTCAGCAGTTTTCGTTTCTCTTTCCTTCTTCGTCCTTCTTCTCCTTTCCCGTCCACGATACCGCTTTTCCATCCAAGAACGCTTTAATTGCCATAATCGTTTTGTAGATAAGACGATCGTCGAGCTGCGTTCACCAAATAAATTGCCACCCTTGTTTGACTTCTCTTACTCTTGTTCCCGACGCCGTTAGACGTGGTTACTAATTTTTATTGACCCCTGGCGATACCTCGACGCTCTGACCGTTCCCTTGTTCGATCATTTTCCTACTAATTGTCTCGAGTCCGATTTGCGGCGGTCGTTTCTCGAAAATCGAACGAGAACAAACAGGAGCAGCATGGAGACCGGTCTCGATAAGCGGGTGGGTTCGGGCTGAGTCACAATTCGGCTCTGTTAATTAAGCCATTGCGCGGCGATGTCTTCGACTTAATTGCCAATTCCATTTGTTCGGGCTGTGAACGAAGGGAATGGTAAGTTTCCGTTTATCAGGGCACGTTTGTACCAGCGTTTCTCTTTTCGATACAGACAGGGGGTGATTGTATCTGCTTATTTTGCAAAGAAAGAAATCTAAAAGTTTGCTAATTTTATGCAAATCGACAGAATCGAAATTACTTTTAATGAAGCAAACTTTGCCAAGATTCTTGTGATAAATATACCGAACTATGTTAATTCTCAGCATCTATTAAATATGTGTATTCTTCTCTAGCTATATTTTTCAAATTTCATTTCCTTTTTGCTTTTTATGGGATCGTATTTACTAGATCGAATCTTCTTCTGCAATGCAGGGCTCCTTGCTTTCGTTTCAAGTTGTTTCAACCAGTGTACATAGTTTGCATGAAACGAAGGAGTACAGAAACTTAAAACAAGAAGAACTTGTTTTAACGCAAGAAGCTTGCTTTTGCTTATTTTCCTTTACTCGATGCAGCCCACCTTATTTACTTTCTTTTTTTTTATAGTTGCATCTTCTCGTCACTTAGTTACTACTCTCCTAGAAGCCCCGGAACGTCTTTCATACATATTTTTTTTTTTTTTTTTTTTTTCGAATACCAGGAACTTTGCGTTCGAGTTTACCAGTTTAAACGTGACCTATTTTTTCTTCCACGTTGATAATCATTTTTTTTCCCCGAGGAAACCTCAAACGTAGCTGAGTTGAAATGTTTTCCAGCTTTTGACCATCATCGATTTCATCCCAGCCAAGTAAAAATGTGCTCGAAAGCCGCAACGCGATTTCTTCATCCGCGGATTTTCAAGCGTTGAAAAGCGATACGTTGCTTTTCGGTTCGCAAAACACGCGTGTATCGTGTTTTTTTTTTCTACCGTTAAAAGCATCGAATCTGCGAATCAAACGTTACGAGCAAATATTTCCAGAAGGGAAAAATTCTGGGAAATGAAGTAGCAACTGAGATCAACGCAGACCTGCAATCTGACCTTCCGCCGTGCTTTAAAATTCCGCGTACGTTCCGCGTCGATGGTATTTTGCCCTCGTTTCGCAGTCAAAGGGTAGAAACTTATCGCAACGAGGAATCGCATCTTCGCAAAGTACACCTCCCCGTGTCGAATCAGTGTCATGTTTATTTTGCGATTATTTTCTTCCTCCTTTTACACGCGACGGAAGATGAAAACGCATTGGAAAGCGAAACAAACGATAATTAAATTAGCTGTAATAAAAAGTTCAAAAATTTAAATGTCGATTTGACTTCCTCCTTTTGTTCTTTGAACTCTTTCATGCAAAAGATTCTATATCTTCATATGCACACGTAAATTCGTCGAAACGACTACGTCCGCGGATTTCGTTCGTCGCGGTTTCTCGCGGGAATACCGCGGAGGAAATTGAATTTTTCCGGAATCTTCAGCATTCTGTTCCACCCTTCCAACGTCGTAGCAGCATCTGCATGCCTCCGAGTATTCTGTCTGAAATCTTTCGGGATTTTCCAAGTGGTAGCATTCTTGTTTCGATGCACGAAATGATCGTTAATCTTTCATATAAAAGCAACCTCTCGCGTGAATCGCATAACAGAAGCAGCTCTTCCTTAATAATAACACGTTCAATTTATCATGAAATACCACGACGTTTTCTTAGAAAGATTAATCTATTTTAAAATATACCAAAATTCCTTTTCTATTTATCGGCAACGAAATTATAAAATGCACTCAGAATTCGCGACGTTTCGAATGCGTGCTTCTATCGATCGTTCTTGGAGAAAACGTCCAATTAGGCGGGGGTAGAGTGCGAATTCGTGTCGGTAGATTTTGCGAAATCAAAGAAAGAAAAGAGAGAGCTGCGAGCAAAGCAAAGCTGTATCGACACGGATGCACACAGGTGCATCGGTCGCGAGGAGTGCACGTGTGCGGTGCAACCGCTGCTGCACTCCCCTGTACGTTGAACTATCGATCGTTTCGGGTCGGACGCGGGCCTTGCACCGAGCCTCTCTCTCGTCTCGACGATTCGTTCGTGGACTTTGCGGAGAACCTCGGCTCGTCTGCGGCCTCTGATCCCCTTTAATTGCACTTAATGATTGTGGCGGGGATCATGCGGGATTCCCAGAGGATCGTCGATCCTCTGCTCGATTGCTCTTTCGTATACACTGTCGATCAAAAGTTTTCGGACAGCATAGATATTTTACTGACTATTGCAAAGTAGTATAAATTGTTTTCAATTTGTAATGGTTCTTTAGCTTTGAAGTTCTATTTCAGTGCAATTATTAGCGTAAGAAGGTACAATATTATTTTAATGAAACATGAAACTACTTTGATGTCAAAAGTGTATCGATAAGATTCTCTTTCTCAGCTACGACTGAAATATCTTAACGTTCAAGAGAATTAGGGCGTACTAAAGTAAAGTTTTTCATTTAAAATTACTTCTTGAATAATGGAGAAAAATGTGTTTCCTTTACATCTACTTCGATTATCAATTTAAGCCTTAATTAGCATTTAGATTGAACTTTCTTTCCTTTACCAATATCGTTCGACTCTTTGCATATTACATTTTTTAATAATCATGTTGAAACCGTGATGTTGCTCTCGTAAATTTTCAAATTATCGACACTTTTGTTTGATTTTTCGTTTTTCACATTTTAACCCTTTGAAGGCTGTTATTGCAGGGTTTAATATCTTTCCTCGATTGATTTTCTTCGTTGCCTGAAGCAAGAAGAATAAATCCATTTTTCACCGTTTGTCAATCCATATACATGCCTTTTGAACACGCGAAACGATAATCGAAATGTTCAAACGCAGATTTTCTCCCTCTCCTCCTTGCACCTCGAAATGTCATACAGTTTTTTATTTTCCGCGATACAATTCGCTGTTTGCGCAATATATTCCATTCGTAGGTACCTAATTTTGTATCGCTATATTAAGGGCATCACTATTGGAAACTATTGGATGGAAACAATCGCGAAATTGTTCGACTTAGCAGCACTAGGAATCTCATCGATCTCAAAAGTTCGTATTGCAAATTGCTTGGAGCGAAGGATAATTTCTTGGATTAAAACAGAGTACACGAGTCGGGGCATCGTTATCAACGATATTATCGACAATTTTGCGCCTGATCCAATCGAAAAACGTGCGTAGAAAAATATAGACTCCTCCGAAACGTGATTTTGTGCGTTATCATAAGAGAAGCGTTTATCAGTCACCGATTGGAAACACTCTGGATTCTTCCAAGAAGCAGTAGCCACGAAGCAACCGCGTCGAGGGAGATAACGCGGTTCCAATCGGAAGTAAAGATCCGCTCTTGTATTTCCGTGTACCAAAAAAGCGTGTGTGTAAAGTGTGTAAATCACAATGTTACACGGCATGTATAAGAACCGTGCCGTTCACGGGCACGGTCTGTCTCGTGGGTGAAGAAACTCTTAACTCTCTAAGGTATCAGTATCGTGTCACCTGTGATTGCGATCTTGCAGGACCACTTGCTGGTACCCTCAAGGACGATCTGTTCGGCCTGCTCGAGGCTGTCTATGTGCGTGTCCGGGTCGACTGTAAACGTCGTGCTGAAAAGAAGACAATGTCCTCGTCATCGTATCGTCCTTCGACAACCTCTTGTACCTTCAACTCTCGATATTAGCTCGCGGTGTCACTCTCGCTCCTTCTCTATCGGATGTCAGCTGGTACCGAAGACAACAGCCCACCAGGTCGAGCTAAGACAGGTACCTTACCGAGGCTACCGAAGGACGTGGTAGGACTGTCTCGAGACGAAGATGGTCGAAAGTCATTCAACGTCGTCCATCAGCGGCGGTGATTCAGACTAGCGATGCATTATACTCTTTCTTTTGTTTCGGGCTAAAACGATTATCTGGCTATCGTGAAAGCAAGAAAGCGTACTCTCATACTCCCCAGATACCAGGCACGGGGTGTGTGGTTCCACGATGGCGGTCGTTCGTTCTCTGTTGGCTAACGATCATGTGCTTTCTCGCTGTGGGTTGCGCGCAAGCAGGGTCTGTTGGCGAACGGTTTGCGAGGCCCGCGAAGCTCTGGATCCGCTGGATATGGCGATGATGCGGGATACAGGGGGGGAGATACGAATAAAAGCGACAGAAGAGAATAAGAATAGCTGCTGGCTTTTGAACGGAATAACGAGAGAATCCTGCTGGAAATAGCGTGTAGAGAGTAATGAAAGAGTCCCGCTGGATGTTTCGGTCGAGTGTTTGTGGAAGAGTTGCGTTCGTGTTCAAAGGGCGACGGTGAATAAAAATGCTGACTGATCTGTGGAATATTGTATGGTTAACAGTAATGGGAAAGGAGAACGAGTTTTTTTAACGTCTTTTGGAAATAATGTGATTTGAGGATGGAATGGATTTCATAAGAAATTCTGATGCATCGTTTTCACGAACTGCAGGTGCATGGAATCTTGACGTCACCTGTTAATCCTCTTCGAGGATTAAGTGGATTGAGTTAATACCGCTTCGTTCGAAGCTAACTGGGCTGCTTGTCAGACCGAAATAAGAAAACTTGTTGCGCCATGACCGTGGCTGATCGCCAACTTCGTAGCCTTGCCATCTAGAATCAACTGGCTTGGCTAGCAAAATCATAGAACATCTGGGGCCCCAGAAGTTCCTGATAAGCACAGAAGACCGGATAAGAGATAAGCAGCTTAAGTAGAATTAAATATCTAAGAAACTCTTCGGATGGGTTTTGGCAAAATCCTATTGACATTCTTTAACTTTCCGCAACATAAAACCAGCGGTGATTAAGATTTCTCTCGTTTCTAATATCGACTCGGACAAGAACTCGGTAAGTTCGCTAAAACAAATTTTAATTTCGAAAGTAGGAAATCATCTAAGATCTAAGTTATAGAGCATCATCAGTCTTTACCCCGACGTTTATTACGATTGAAACGTTGAACAAACGAAAGTCGAAGAACGGAAAGAATGAGTTTCAAAGAACGTCGGTTGCCACGGTTACGAGAGATTCGTTTTGTGAATCACAATTTCCAAGGAGTTTGGAAAAGCTTCGAGGAAGAATCGCGACGTCAATGTGTTTGCTCGTTGACTCAGCTGAGAAACTTTACGCATTTCGCTTGAGTAACCGCAAAGTTCGAACGAGTTACTTTGCGAGCACGAATGCAAATAGACGCGTCTAACACAGTGATTGGAAACTCGGCAGTTTATAATTTTTTAACAGAAAAATAAGCAAACGAAAATGCAATCGTTAGAGGAATATTTTGTAGGAAATTTCGATCATCCGATGAGAAATTCGAAAGGATAGATTGGTTAGTGCTCGGTGGGTCGTTTTCGATAAACGTAGCTGGAGCATCGAGGATGCTGGTCAGCCGTTGGTTCGCGTCCGATAGGGCTGGCTTAGCTTTGACAATGGCACCGGTGTACAACTGGACCACAACAAGTTGCCGTGTGACCTTAATGGACTTTCGATTGAATTCCTCCGGCATACACGGGGCGACGTCTTTCACGTTGGACAACCGCATAACACGTGGTACATGCACGTTCATGTTCGATCAAGAAGCTGATTTTCAGAACAAAATGTTCGCTGATCGATGATCCGGACTTGGCTTCTCGAAAATGTATCAAGGTAACTCATCTTCGGTGTTAAATATTATCTGAGTACTTTCAACGAATGAAACTGATACGAATGTACGTCTCTAGCATTCTACGCTTAATGAATGAAATCTGAGCGATTCATTACTGATTTAGATACTCTAGCAAGTACGTACACTAACTAAGGATCCACCCAAGTTTCAAGGTAACTAAAGGTTTTCTTTATCACGAACCACGATAATTACAACTTTGTAAATCGAAATCACGTTATCGCACGATGAATAATGATCCTTCTTCTAATACTGCTTATCACGATATTTCGTCCGGAAAAGTGGCACGATATTTCCATGATAAAACTTATACGAACAGCATTGAATAATGAGCTGGGTACCGAGTCGACGCGTCGTTAATTACCATTCTCTCCCTAGATTATCAAACACCGTGTACAATGTTTTCGTATGGAAAGTTCGCTCGTAGCGAGGGCATGTAAAAGTCTCAATTATGCAAATAAATCTCCAAAGATTACCACCTTCTCCCTTGTTTCATATAAAATTCTAAATCTACAGACCTTCGATTCCACGATCTATAAATTTCATCATTCTTCCATAATGTATGTGGAGGGTGTAACGAAGACGCAAAGGGGACTCGAAACGATCAGGATCGTTCTTTGAAACGTCGAATAAAATAGTTTGAAAGGTAGTGCTTTTCACGGAATCGTATTTCCCTGCAGAACGACCGTTATATTGCAGTTCACGGAACAACCGACAACTTCGTGAACTCGATTTCATCGATCCCTTGTCGTTGAAAATGTTTCGAACGTAGAATGGAAGCAACTGCCATGAAATTACCATTGGAGAAATGGAAATATAAAAAACAGTGAAAGGGTTGGAACGTGGCTTGTGATCGAGGCGAGGTGAATGTTCAATTAATGCGACCTCCTGATGGTCACATCGTGGGATATCATTGTATCCAGAGACGAATGTAAATTATGCAGATGAGACGTGTGCTAATACGGCACGATGTATACGATGTGCGATGTAGGTGAGAGAGTAATTGACAGGATTTATGGGGGTACATGTGCGCTGAAGGGAATGATGTGTGAAAAATATGCACCCGTTCGTCACATAGCACGTACGACATTTTTGTGTGTAGAACATGTTGCTCTGTAAAGTTTATGGCTGCTGTGCGTACATTTGCAGGAAAGAATATGATCAGACTCTCGAGTCGTGAAACAACAGGGGTGAAGATTGTTGGATACAATGATTCGCGTTTAGGGAAAATATCTAATGGATAAAATTTTGGAATTTCACCAAAAAATCCTACCCCTGTTTAGATTTCAATGCTCGACAGAACGTCTAAAATTCTTTTTTCTTCCAACAAGCATACAGAGTATATCATTCGAAAACAGTGTTTAAAATCAAAATTGTTCTGTTTCGATTCGACTGAAGTGAATTTTATAGCACGTGTGCAGACTCGTTGTTGGTGTTTTAAGGATTTGAATTTCTTTATCGAACAGCGTGCGAATCCTCTACGACTATCATTCTACTTCTGCAAAACGATACTGATAAGAACTTTTTTAATTCACGCGATACGATCAGCATTTCGACTAAACTATTCTCAACACACAGTGCATCGTTCTTTGTTCTTTCTCTATCGCGTCTTTACACACTGTCATTTTTCTTGAAAAATTCTACGTGTTAATTAGGATCGATCGATCCCTGCAATAAGATATACCGATATATATGCGAACAGTACTATCTACTTATGCATGGTAGCCAGCACGCAAGTGTATTTTAATACGAGAACAATTTTCTCCTTTGTTCTCATTCGTTTTCCCTCGCAAAATAAAAAGAAAGCGTTGCTAATAAGTAAACTGAAGGGGAAAAAAGTAATAAAAGAAAATTGTCGCTGTAAAGGAAGCTCGTTCGACGGAAAAGAGAAAATTGTTCGCAAGTTCTGATATTGTTTCAGGACACCTCTAATTTGCTCAGCTCTATGCATACATACACACACTCCACATACACAGGGTGAACTAAACAAAATGCTACAATGTATTTTTATCAAAACACTTCCAAACACTTCATTTGGTCCATCCTGTATAATATGCGAAGAACGGGTGCATTCCGACCAACGGCACAGTCAAATCGCTATCACAATATAAAATATACAAATATAATGTATACAGGGTGTCCGATATTACAAATAATAACACGTTTTTTTTTCAAGAAAATCTGCTGAATATATGAAGGAAGTTTGTCGACACCCTGTATACGTGTAGAGATATAAGTGTGACAGTAAAACACAGCAGCAGCCGGCAGAGCGTAAGACTCGACGATGAAACAAGAACGATCACAATTAAACATGGTACAATTATGCGAACGAACGTAACAAAGTAACAAGAAAGACAATGAAACACGTAAGTTAGTCAAGTATAACGTGTATGGATGTGCAACATGTAAGAAAGAAGGATGATGGTGAATATGATTTCACATAAATAATAAAAACAATAAGAAGAAGAATAAGAAGAAGAAGAAGTAGAAGAAGAAGTAGAAGTAGAAGAAGAAGAACATTGAGGCACATAAGGTGGTACACATAATGTATCATATATTATATATAAGTAAGATAGAGGTATGCATGGAGCGCTGCACGTTTCATCGTATTGTTGCACGGAGGGGTGCATAACCGACCCATTGCCGGCGGTCACAAGGAGGTAGCCACAAACCTGTAATGGCGATCTTCGCGGACCACTTGCTGGTACCGTCCAGAACCGACTGCTTCACCGCCCTCATGTTACGCGTATGTGCCTCCTCGTCGACCCCGAAGACTGACCTAAACTCCGACGAGACTTTCTTTCACATGAGCTGTGCCAACGGCCTAGATCTCGTCCTACCTGTTTCTTTCTTTCACCGTTTAAGACCGGGCTTTTCTTTTCTTTTTTTCCTTTTTTCTCGCGTTTCTTTGCCCTTTGTTCGCTTGCTGACACCGCGTTCCCCTTTCGAGCATTGCGGGTAACGTGTAACGCGTGCTCGTTTTGTCGTAATTGCATCGCGAAGCGGAGAGGAATCTCGTTAAGGGTCGCTAATGACCTCTACCAACCCCCCGTTCCTCTCGGAACAGACTTTATGTTACTTATGTAACGAATCTTCTCGCCTCTTATTTTTCTCCCTTTTCGACTGCTTTGAAGATTTTCGTGGACGCGACAAACTTTCTTTATAAGAAAAGGTTTTTTCAGAGGGTGGATACGCGCAAACAATCTCAAGGGCAATTTGCTTATTTTCTTTACGAAATTTTGTTAATGGCAGTAATTCTTAAGAAATGGAATCGTTATAATCGTATTATTCTGTTAACATTGCAATTAAATTACCTTCGAAGCAGTCAATTTCCGATTCATACGTTTACACGCAACGCTCTGCACGGTATATCCTGACAAGGCTCTTTGAATTCTTGCGAGTATAAAATTTCAGCGAAAAATTCCAACGATCGAAGCTCTGAATACCAGATTCATGGTGAATTGAAGCTAGGCTAATGTATTTCCGTCCGTTTGTTTCTTTTTTTCCATCGAAAAACGAGTACTACAAATGAATTCGCCTGCTGCAACCGACCAGAACGAACAGCGCAATTTATCCGATAGATACACGATAGCAAAATTTGTCTTCCCGCGATTCCTTTCGATAAATAAAGCCTGTTTATCAAAATGTCGATATCTTGCGGGGGATGTGTATAAATCAAGAACGTGTTGATGTTATCGGCCAGCAGACGCCAGCGTTATTCACTTCATTAACGAATATTTTTCACGTTGTGGACGCGTGCTGTTGTAATTAATGCGTCGGCTTATCGATCAATCGGCTAACGAGGGTGTTGATTGCACGATGGCACCGTACCAAAACCCTATCGACGTATCTTCGATTTGTTGAGCCTTGTCGGTATATACAGCGAATGATTATTACAAATTGCTTTTTATTTTCGCAGAGAAGACGAGACCCGGCCTTGTGCAAGGTACGAGGTTTTCAGTTCGATTTACACGTTCGTCCTCGCATCTTTTACTCTGGCCCGTGTCGCCATTGCTTTGCCATTCTTTTCTTGGTAGAATCTCGTTCAAAGATCGTGTCAATTCTTTTCATGTATCGTAATGTTCGATTCCACTTTGTGCAGTTAAAAAAAATAACTATGACTTTGTGTCTTTTTTGATAAAAGAACAGTGCATAAAAATAAGGAACAGTGAAATTATTGGTGAAATTGGTGATGCATCGCGTCGTTTATTTCCACGACGATTTGTTTTAAGGAATATGTCGATTGTTTCATTAATTAATAGCCGATGAAAAGTGATCGAGTGGCTCGAGAACGAAACAAACGGTACGCGTTTAATTATCGATCGATATTTAATCAATCATTCGTTCTTGTTGTCAGGTCAAATAACCGAGCCGTTCTTTTGAACGCTAGAAGCGATATTAATTAACCCTGATACCCATTAACTTATACACCCAACCACTTCCTAGTCTTTGTCGAGATTTTTAGATCGTACTCGACTAGAGATACTCCGATATTCTCAAGATTAATTGAAGGAACAGCTCGATCAGAACGACGAGTATCGTGCTGTTTTGATGATGGTGCTTGAATAATAATCAACTCCTTCAAATCCGTGGAAACAAATCTAGTCAATTCTTTGAGGTATAACAATCAGCTAAAAATACTTGAGAATCGGGGTAAACGTTCGGTCATGAAAAAATATCTTATCAAAAATTTGTTCAATTTTACTAACTTTAACCTATTATATTTGTTCATTGCCGAAACGTTTAATTTCGTAAATTTCACATTTGTGTATCCAGATAACTCTATTATCTAATTCAGATCAGTGTTGTGCCATCGTGGAATGCCGGCTAATGAGCAGTGGTTGATCAGTAATAGCCTGTTGGAAAGCAACCGCGTCACTGATTAATTTCTGGGGGTGTGATGATACGTCCATGCTACTGTGATAATTATGTCGCGTCTCATTTAATTATCAGCCGGATCAATCGTATTGTCAAACGAATTTTCGTTTAAGTAAAGCTGTGAATAATCTCAAAAATACGTTTTCGAACGGCATTTTACCTAACTACCAGGCGTCGTAAATTGCAATTTCGACCCATGCACGAGTGGTGATTACTTAATAACAGATAACGAGTCTGATCGACGAGCTGCTATCACGTTTAAATCGATAGTACTACGACTTTGGAAAAATCGATAATGGTTGGAACATTTTTGCATTCAACAAATGAGCATCTACGAAAGCACGAGATTTTCGATGCTTCGTTTATGCGATTAACAAGCTTTAAAAATTGGAAATAGTACCAATACGATTCAGACAAAACGAAAAAATTTATCAGAGATACGAGGAAAACATTGTAACACCAATTTTTATGGACGCTGCGCGTCAAAATATCTTATCCGTTTTCATATCCGAATAAAAAATCTCGTGTATAAAAGCCGTGTCAATTTTGATGTACGCGTAATATCGATTCTAAAGTATGGGATGAAATATGGTGCGCATTGACGGGCACAGACTTCAATAATAAATGGCTTAGATGTATCGTAAATACGCAGCAAAGGGTCATAAAGTAGAAGCTTTAAACGTTGATTCAAAATCATTGAGCTCCCCGAGTTACACGTGATACAAATTACTTCCTGTAAGGGCTTTGGTGTACAGCTGCGAGTAAAAACGAATGAAGGGAATGCGCGTGTCTACGTAATGCATGTCCCATTGTTGGGTGTCACGTGCGATGCTTCCTCCAAATGAATACAGACGCAAAGAAACTAATCTACACACGTGAAATGGGTTTTCATTACACAGAAGGAGTAGCTACCTCTAACTGAGACTTCCTGGAAAATATCACTCGAAATGTTTGATAAAACGTTTCTGATTATCCTAGTGCGAAGGAAATGATTAAAGGCAAAGTTAATTTCAATCATGATTTTATAATTCTAGTTCCAGGGAATAATGAAATTTCATGTAAAACATTGTTGCAAAGTTAACTCTGTAAATATTCATTTAATATAAAGCTAACAAATTGCAGTTTGCATATCAAACATTTTGTAGAGAGTTTCTTGATACTCAAATACCAAGAAAATTATTAATTTAGTTTTAAATTATTAAACAGTTTGCAATTACTAGAAAATTTTCCAAACAAATTTTGATGGTTAAATTTTGTTGTGTATTTCTAGATAGAAATAGCACGCTTCAAAAGGTGCGCCCTAAATTCGTGTTTGCAACTTGTTAAATGATTATCTGTATTCAAGCTGATATCGCGTACTGTGTAACATTACGAGCGGTTCGACAAACCCGAAGGCTCCGTGATCAATGATCACGAACGTCGTCGTAAATTCTATAGCTTTATTACCGGAAGTTTAATCCTGATCGATCGAACCTCTCACCACGAATCTACATCGTCTCTTGCCACCTTTGAACAGTTTCAAGGGGAAAACAGTCTGTGGATCTTTCATTCGAGGTGCATCCATCTATTCGAACACCGTCAAGAAGACGTTGTTGCTATAATTTCTCCTCGATATCGACTAAAGTAATAATTTATAGACTCGACGATGAAATATAATATTAATCACCGTGGTTCGAATCACTATCTCGAACTATCACAAATTGAGAACGAATATGGTACTTCGTTCTACCCTTTGGTTTCATGGAGTTGATATTAAAACGTTCAACTGGGTCATATCGAATTTTTTCAAGGAAACAATCTATTCTTCATTTTTTATTATTACTTCGTTGGGGATTCTGTTATCGATTCTTTGACGAAGTGTAAACTGACCCATACCTGAACTTCAATATTGATATCGAAGAAGCTTAAAGTTGATGTAATCGACTGTTCTAAGCATCGTCTGATGAGAAAATAACCTTTCTTCTTCCACTTTCTTTGCTTAAAATACCTCGTTATACTAACTGTGCCGCGTATTTCTATCCAACCGGGCATAATTTTCTCTTTCACAATCGGACAAAAGGCTATTAAACGCGCTTGCATTTCCAGTCGAAAAATGCATAGAACGAAATATTTTTAATTCCCCTTCTGGTGACTTTTATGCACCGTTGGTAACGGTATTTCCAAATCGTTGGTAACCGGCTGGATCACAATCGTGGCCGAGTTCTTTATTGTACCACGACCTAATTCACCTATTTCACTGTTCCTGCACATTTTCAATGCCGCTATTTGCGCACGCAAATTTGCGGTCTTAGACAGCTGGACACTGGGCAAATAACGCATGCAAATGCGAGAACTTTCAAACGTATTGTTCGTTTGCTTGCATAGCAAATAGATTTTTGTTAAAAGCGTTGCAAGAGACAGTAGCGTGGAATCGAATGCAAAGTAGCGGTCATTTTATGCTTCACGAAAATCTATTTTTATTGTGAAGAAAAATTCGAGATTAGCTATACGGACAAGCAATGGCGGCGTGGATCCTTGCCAGATGAATCGTCGACTGACTTTTTCCCCTGAAATTCGTGCCTTGCCGTCGATTGACGGCCTTTTCCATCGAGTCAACTATGCTGCGACAAAAGAAGGAGAAAAGAAGGAAAAGATATGCTAAGAAGGACTCACCGGATCAGCTCGAAGATCTCCGGCTTCTCTCGCTCCCTCTGCTTCATTCGCTCTTTCATGGCTGTGATGATGCTGTTCGCCTTATCCTCTGCCCCGTGCTTCGAGCTCTTCTCAGCCGCTCCTGAGAAAATGAAACAAGCGAAGCGCTGGATGAGGATTTTACTTGGAACGTTGTTTAGCCATGCTAAAACGGATAGAAAGGTCTTCGTGTAAAATAAACCACCGCGCAGAGAGAAAAACGGAACCAGTGAACAATTGCTTTGTTAGACAAGAGATTTTAAGCTATGTATAGGGTTATCCAAATTGAGTGTTACATCTTCAAATTGAAATAAAACGCAAAGTATGTGATTTTTTTATGGTTTCTTTAGTATAACACAAAGTCTACTGTACGACATTAATTATCAAAAGCAATATTATTTAAATGTTCTTCTCGACTTTTTTCACGAGCCTGATGCGTTTCACCCAATTTTTCATTATATTTTCACATAAGTGGAATTCAATTTCATCAATAGCGACTGTGATTTTGTTGCTCAGCTCGTTAATAGTCTTTGGATTATTGGCGTAAACTTTATTTTCCATAAACACCATAAAAAAATGTAATGGTGTTAAATCATTCGATCTTGATTGCAATTGGTGTCTCCTCCTCGTGAAAAATTACTCGTTCGTTAAATTTGGTCAAACGTATCAAGCTCGCAAAAAAAAGCGGAGAAGGACGTTGAATGATATTGTTTTTCATAATTAATGTCATAAAACAGACTTTGTATTAAAATAAAGTAACCATACAAAAATCAAATACTTTGCGTTTTATTTCAATTTGAAGATGTAACACTCAATTTGGATAACTCTGTATAATGTAGCAAGTAGTATAGCTCGCTATATAATCAGAAAAGTGAAGCAATCTCATACATAGTTGAAACGGTGCATTTTTCTCTGAAATATTAATTGGTGTAAGACATAAGGCATTGTAAAATATGCAAGTAGTATGAGTACATTCTCGTACAAAGTCAGTCAAGTAGTATAGACCGGTATATCATCAGACATTCCTCAGCTCGGCGCATTTCCCTTTGAATAATCCACAAACCACAGATTCAAACGACGGGTCCTTTAAAGTTTTCATGCGAGTGACGCGTCAGAACGCAACGGAACACTCTTGAAGCTTTAATTTTCCGGTGCGAGGTCGAGATCTCGTGCGAGATCGTTTGATGCGCCAGTCGAGATTCTCGGGTGAGAAGGTTACTGCGGCTTAAGCAGACCGGAAATTACACGTACCAAACGTTTGGTAGCCAGATGCCGGAACAAACTTCAGGCAAATGCTCGCGAAAAATCGATTTCTTCAACTGGAAAATAGACGCGTCACGGTTCGCGGTGTACAAACTTCGAAACGGACTAGACCTCCGGGAAGTTTGCACTGTTTCGCGTAAAAAAATCTCTATTCATCGGTGGAGTATTTTTGTCTGTGTTCCTCGATGAACGGACTTGACGATACAATAATTGCCACGACCGGTGAATTCATCGACCCGAAGTTCGTGACCCAAAATCGTGTTATTTAATAAAATCGGTAAAAAAGATATGTATTTTCAACGCTAGAGAACAATAAAGTAAAATTTATGATTTTGTCATTTTGTAATTTAAAAAATGTCACAAGCTACAAACTTGATCAAAAGGGATTACAAAGTAGTTAATAAAATCATTATCGGTGACCATAATTGAACGCAATGGCGCAGTCAACGTAAAGTGAATGTTACTGACAGTTTTCCAACGCGACCAATATGAATAATTTACACGAAATTTGAACTCGAATATTTAACCTTCGTTCACGTCACGTTGTCTGATTAATAATTCTCTTGCTTGCGGCGAATTTAAACATTGACCCATAACTAATTACCATATATTTTGATCCGAACATCGAATCAAGTATACGCCCGGTAATTAACAACGACTTTCATTCAAAAGAGAACTGCAACGACGTTTCGTAGACATATTTCTGATTGAAAATATCCTGAAATGGTAACAAATTAATTAACCAGTCCTTGATGTTCTTACTAAGAAAATTGAGGATATATCTGCTTCGTTAATTATTTAATTACACTAACAGCAGCATGCTATGAAAGGAAGTTTGTTCAAGAAACTCTCTTTCATGTTACAAGGAATCTTGACGCTAATTAATTATTAATTAGTAAGCTATGGAAGATACAAACTATGCAAAGAATGCTTTACTCACTCTTCAAATTTATCTTATTGTTAGCTTGATATTAAAAGTGATACTTTAAAGCAAACAATATTAAAGGAATTATAGAATACTATAATCAATGTTTAATATTCAATATACGTATACATATTCACAAGCTCAATTAATTTCCATATTCAGAGCGAAAGTATTAATTTTCAAAAGAGAATCCGCCTTTATAGTCATATTTTAGTTCTCCCGCTTGTTCGAATATAATCTACAATATGAAAGATATTCAACAAATATTCAATTGCACTTATTATCCTCGTAATTGATATTCATTAAACCAGCAATTATTCAATTTCGTTCGAACGAACAATTAATTCATCGTTCGACGAGGTGAATTAATTGAAACAAAACCCCTCTACATTCCTGGTTCAATTAGGCCTCGATCGATCGATTCCCACGGTATGCTCATCCAGTAATTTTCTGGCGTGGAAAATGTTTTGAACGGTATTTCGATTAAAATTAGGTACTTACTTTGCAAGCAGTCAGCGTTCAGCAGGTCCTTGCACTTTTCGTGGCACTTGACTCCGCACTCTGTACACCGCACACCTTGTCGAGCAATACCCCAGAGAAGACCTTCGCACTCGTAGCAATAGGTCGGCGACGTAGCTGTCCAGGTGACGAACTTGTGCGGCGTCGTCGAGGAAATCGGGTAGATCATCGCTTGCAGCGTTTTCTTGTAGACGTGCATCTTCTGTAGGGGTGGCATCGACACAGAGTACAATTAGAATACAGGAATCGAAATAAATTCGATAGATTGGTCAACGGGCACGAGGTTTGGACATTATTTTCTTTTTTCTTTCTTCATTTTATTTTTATTTAGATCATTCGTGCAGCCTTGACTCAATGCTCGTACGTTCAAACGAAAATTATTCGTAGTTCTTTTTCCCAAAAGCAAATATCAAATTCCTCTATCTCTTCCTGGTTCTCCGCTCGTTTGAAATTAGAATTCTTACGCCAGAGGATTTCGATGTCGTGGTATTATCTGGCAGCCGAGCAGAGAGGCAAGGCGCGTCAGCATTCGCGCGTGACCAGTCAGTCCATGAAGAACACAGACACGATCGAGAATATTTGAAAGGAGCATGGAATCGAGAATTCTTTTAAATTCTTCCTATCCCGTCTCTCACCGCGTCTGTTTTCTACATCCATTTCAGTCGTTCTACTTCCTGCTGTTACTTGCAACTCACCTCGCGGAATGTTCTTCCTGTCACATGCAATGTCAAACGGACCATGAACCAGCAGGAAGCGTTCATTCGCGCTGAAATCGTAGTCATTCACGCATACCGCACTAGCTTCCGTATATAATTACGCGCGCAATCATAACGTGCCGGGGTTGGTGCCTGCGAGACCTAATTACATACGCAATCCTGTGTACACAGATTAAACTTGGGGAATCTTCGGATGGGGTGTTCAGTCGCGTGCGATATTCACAAGGATCTCCGTTATATCGTCCTTTCGAATCTCCTCTAACGAGAGTTGAAGCCGGATTTCCGAGGATAACCCTTTCAGCTGCTCTGGTTACCCTTTTGCGTTAACCATCCATTTTACGTAACATCCGGCTTCGTCGTTCGAGATTAAAATAGATGCAAGATAAATATTTTGAAGTGTACGACCAATTTTCAAGGATCCGTGCAGCGAAAAGATAAAAGGATTCCCCAGACGTACAGGATCCGTTTCATCCTGTGCTTCGAAGCGGCAGGATCGTTAACCTGCTACTTCTTTGACCTTTTTTCTCCATTCGATTTTTATCCTTTTCTTATATCGACACTTCGAAAAGATATCCCGGTGGATGATCGAAGAAAACGGGAACATTATCGGGACACTTTTCCCCAGGAGAAACAATAGATTCCTTTTCTATTTTTTTTTTTTTTTTCTTAATATCGATTCAACGAATATCCTTGCTTCGATTCGGTCACCTTTTTCCTATCGGCTCGAAAACTTCGTGATAAAAGGGGGTGGTGGAAAGGGGGAGCACGTTCTCTAGATGTCGTACTATTGGGGCGCTCTGCAAGGGGGGTGTAAAAGCATCGATCCGCTAAAAAGCACTATAAGGGTGACGTCGCCGGTCCAGGATGTTCCTCGTCTTCTTTTCGCTATTTCTTTTTCTCCGTCTTTCGTACGTGACAGTATCTACGGGTTCGAAAGTTGTTCGCGTTGAAAATTTGAATAGCATTTCAGTCGTATGTCGGAAAATGGAAGATTGCTGTACTATTCTGAGAAGAAGGATGCTGTTTATAAAACTTGTACATCGAAATCTATCAACGTTGCTCTTTCTTCGCGATTTATAATACAAGAGATTTCAGTCTATAGTATGATTCCTTCGACACTTAACATTAATTTTCAACGCGAACGAGGACAGAGACCGACGTGTTGTTGCGGTGGCTCTCGTTAGCGAAATTTCGTAAATCAGCTGATCGTTGAATAGCTGGAAAAGATCCCATCGGGAACGAACACGAGGAACATCCGATACCACGAGCAGGAGTATCGGAGTATATCCTAGCTCTAGCCTAATTACACTCGGTTTACATGACCACTGTAGCATCTCATATTCGCGAGTAACCTACACGTGACCCACATACGTACACACATCGCGATCGTACCGCACGTATCGACTGCTGGTGCGCTAAACGTTTGGCAACCCTCGTGACCAGTGTGTACAAATACTTAAATGCAGATACGCATGAAACGTTCACCCTAGCCTCTAGAGAAGAACGACTGGTCTAATGTTCGCTACGAACGTTGCTCTTTCTCAGTATCACAAGAACGTGATCAAACAGAAAGATAGATAGATAGAGAGAGATAGCAGAAGAAAGAAGAAGAGAGGCAAAGAAAGAAAGAAAGAAAGAAAGAAAGAAAGAAAGAAAGAGAGTAGAGACAGACAGGTAGAAATGTTTCGAAAGAAAGATAGAAAGAAAGGAAAAGATAGAGATAGAGAGAGAGAGAGAGAAAGAAAGAGAGGTTGGGCCACACTTACGTGAAAGAAAATAGCGCGGAAATGAGGATAAAATGCAGCACAGTTCATGTGAAAAGAAAAAAATTTATCAGAGGTTAAAGTCTAGCTCCACGGAAGAGCTTTCACCGGATACGCGAGGATGCATGTATCTCGGCTTATAATTACAAATGACGCGTGTTTTTTCCCTAGTTTTATGCAAATTTATGAGAAAAATTCTGTCCGCCTTTTAAGGCAGGTCACTCGCGCAAAAATCAGCCATTAGTTATTATTATACTTTCCATATTAAATTTTGCAAAATTTTCAGAATTTTACACAAAGCGTCGTAAAATTCTCGCGCAATATTTTTTTGATTACGTCGTTTAAACAAATTTTAATATCGCTGAGACTTTATCATGTTACAAAGCGTAACTGGAATATCTATTTTTCTTTACTCTTTTGTTGTAATCGTTTTCTTTGTACTTGTTATATTTCGTTTAAACGATCAGAGATTCAATCAATCGTTAGGTTAATGAAGATACAAATACAGTGCTTTGTTCAATCTTTCTTTTACGAAGATGTTGCAGCTACCTTTGTTTTATTCGAAACAGAATTGCGTGCTTTTATTGCACTTTTTTTATGATACGTTTCACGACGATTTCAGCTGGGTAAATTGTATGCGTTTCTGATCGAAAAAAGAGCACTGGGATGGCTGTAACAACGGTATAAAAGCTTGTAATTCAAGCACCATTTTACCGTGTTTCATTTAATATTTATCAATCGACCGCGGTTTCTAGGCTTCGTTGATATGTTTTGAAATGTGCTATAAAACAACGCGGTTTCGTGTTGGAAAATGCACTCTTAAAACCATACCGCATCGTCTATATCACTTTGCATTCGAAGATAAAATTTTAATTCTAAGAAATATTTTTCTTTTGTATCTTCAATACCCTAAATATAATAACATTTATGCAGACTGCTCCTTAATATGTGAAAAATACTGTAATTTGGCTTCGAAACTTACTAGTCAATAAATTAAGAAACACTCTGCACATTTAAACGAAATATATATATCACGCATTCCTATCGCGTTTTTCTGGTTGCTAAAAGATATTTACTCGCGACGTTTTATCGATAAAGTTTGCATATCGTTTTCGAATCGACTTCTAGACCGCATTTCACGACACCTCGAAATCGACACGGTCGCGTTTTATCGAGTTCTTCGTTCGCTATCTAGCGAACGACCCCGTCAAGATTGACTATCAAGATTAATCTAACGAAGTTCGTTCGTGGATATTAAAATTTTCAGCCCGTCGGAAAAGTCCCTTTAATATCAATTTACTGTCCTCAACTTTCCTCAACTCGCGGGAAATTGATTCTCTTGCTATTGTGCTCCGACCGCGACAACTGACTATTTTTAATGATTGCTTCTTCGACCGGTGTTGCGGTGAAAAACGATCGAAGATTGTTTTATAAATCATACTTTGCGGTATTTAGAATTTTTATTCCTTCATTTTCTAATTATTCGAATTTTGGTAATCAATGATTTTAATTTTTACGGTCAAAGTGTTAAGCTAATGTTTAATAACTAGGATTGATTTTTATGCCAATATTCAAAGGAAAATAACATATTTCAATGAAAGTTTAATCTACGATCGCTTTTCACGTGAAGATTGTTATTCCGTGGCTGAAAAGCGACCACAGAGAGTCTGTTTTCGGTATTCGTTTAAATAGACGACACGAAGGATGACGATGACGCCTGTAAAAGTTAATATTTAAAGGACGAATTCTTACCAGCTCCTCGTCGTTCAACGTTGCTCTGGGCACAGCCGATGCTAGACCTGCAGTGTTCCTCTTCGTCGCCGCCATTGTCTGAGAAAAGATAGAAATTAATGCTCATCTGATTCGAGAACAATGCCTTCCAGTCTCTCTATTGTATGAACAGAGATAAAGAACAGGAAGAGAGAAACTGAAAGGGGGAAATAAAGAAAAAGTAGAAAAAGAAATGGTAGTGGATGATGATGATGATGAAAGAAACGAACATGTAAATCAAAAGTTAATACGATGATTTCGAAGGCGTAAAAATTTTTTGAGACATAAAAATTGCACAACAATAAAAGAATAAGAAACTACGTTGTTTTCATTAACAATCGATGTCACTCGAAGACAACTATTTGCAAAATTATTAAAAAACAATGAACTAGAAAAAAAATAAATTATAAATATGTGACATCGAGAATTATATTTGGCATATATTATACTCCATCCAACGAGACGAGACAGTAAATGCGTAGAAATTCACGTGCTCGAAACAGGCTCGAAACAACTGGGCTCCAGCCCTGCGTCGAGGGTGTGAATTTGTAAACATATCCTGACTCGTCTCATTGGACGGATTATACTCAGGAATGGCTTATTACTTATTACTTTTTTAAAAACTTTTTCGCTAACAAATAGAGTACCTTAAAATTAGAATAATTTGTAGGTGATGTTTTATGCCAAATATATTTTGAAAATTTTTACACTGCTATGTACAAATATTATTTACAGCCACGGCAAGATGTGTTTTATTTACAACTGGCTTGATTTAAAGCCGTGCTTTGAGCGTTTCATCGTCGAAATCGAGCAAGCTTCGCGACCTTTCAACGTTGCATACTGATGATACATTTCGTGAAATGAATATATAAAAATATAAAAACATTCCAAATAGAAATCCATTAACCCACTAATTTAAAATCGAGAAGCTCTGCTCAAACACGTGTCTATGTCATTATAAATAAAAACCAAGTATCTATATGAAACATCATAAAAAACACAATGAAACAAATTTTGTATTATTACAAAAAAAACGAACTGGTCAGAATTAAATGAAAATCAGAGAGATATTAAATATAGATAATGAAGAAATAATGGAACGAAATGAAATATTCGGATGATAGGGTGTAAAATGTGTGAACCGTGAAATGAAGAAAGAATCGACGGAAACGAATGTGATACGAATTAAATGGCGAAAATGACGGTGAAAGGTAGAGCGAGATAGAGGTGATGAAGAATCTACGGATAAAATCTAATCCAATTAGCTTATGGCGCCTAGTAGGTGTGACGCCTGGTAGGATTTGCGGTTGGCTAGATTTCAATTATGATATTACATGCACGGGGCCCCGTGCTCGATGCATGCGCTACTGTCTCGTTAACCGTGGACAGACGCTAATTTCGAGCACTAATTTTGCATTTTCTCTCACCTACGCTCTTATCTCGCATTTTTCTATCAGCGTTTTTCTACTTATCTGAAAAAGCGTGTTGGTGAGTGTCTGTTGTGTTTCAAGCGTTTCCTGCACGGGGCACCGTGTCATTCCTCTATCTTTTTTCACCTTTCCTCACACGCTGTTATCACTTACGTGTTTCGAAAATTATAGCAACATCTTTCTTACAATCCTATATCAACCTTTTCTCTTTGTTTTCTTTCAATTTTATTAAAAGGTCGTATATAGAATAATCGTGCGAAAAGCGATTAACCTTTGGCTGTCCCTTTCTCGTTTCTTTCGAATCATGTCGTTTGACGAAAAAAAGAACAATTAACATTAGAGAGAAAGGAAAAGCGTCAGAGGATAAAACGTCTAATCGTCTAATTAGAATAATAGAAAAGTGTAATCGTGTACCTACTAACTACGGTATCCGATCTACTTTCTGCATGCGCTTATGCGTTCATAGTGACAAAACAGCCTTTACGCGTGTAGGTACATTCAGAATAGTCAAAATATCGAACGAAATCACAAGCAAATGCATGGAACATCTTCCAGCGAGTAGATTCTTTTTTTTATTGTATCGATTAGTTATTGATCTTTGAGAATTATTCATCATTTCGTACAGGAGGAATTAAGAATCTAGTCGCCAGAGAAAAACAGCTGGATAGAAAAATGAAAATGACGAAAAGAGAACAACGTACACGAGAGCAACACGCTTCTTTCGATCTCGGCACACCGGAAGTGTGTCCACGTTCACTAATTACGGTGATATCTCGTTATCGAGCCGGCGAGACGGCTAGGCGAACACGTTCTCGCATAATTATGTCGCGACACGCGAAACTACCCCATGTTATGTTACCTTAATGCTTCAATTAGAAAATCTACGTAATCCAACGATAAATCATAGATCGCTCGATGAAACGTGATTGCGAAACAGCGTTGCTCGCAATGTATTTTTTTTTAAATTGAAAATAACAAAATAGAACTGAGGAAAAAATATACTGAGCTAGGTATGAAAGAAATAAAAAAATTGAGCGTAACGTAATAGGGTGGAAGAAAGAAAGAGAAAGATGTGTACGACAAGCTGAATCATGCGCTACGTACGGCCAAACAAGCGTATTTTTCTTTTCTTTTTTTATTATTATTTTTTGTTAATTTAACTTCGTTAAGGAGGCATTTAATTTTAGTACCTTCAAGACCTGGAGGTAGAGTTTTTGAGATTTTTTGAGAGGTTTTTTTCAGTGAGTGGTTTTGTATTTTTCAGGTGTTCAGGTGGATACAACAACGGGCGCCACAGAGAACAAACAAAGAAAATGGCATTATATGCCGGTTAGTATACGTGAATCACTTGCATCTTTATCTTGTTTTATTTTTTCTTTTCTTTTTCTCTAACGCTTCGTATGTTACGGGTAACAGGTACATTTAACACCTTCGCTGCGGACTTAGGGTCGTATATTAATTTTGAATAATATCATCTATACCGCGATATGCAGCGAAAGTGTTAATGATCAGAGGGAGACGTCGATTTTTCATCGAGATACAGAATAAAAAGAAATCATCAAGTTTCAAAGTAATTAGGGATACTTTCTTTTTTTCCCAAATAAACGTTTGCTCGAACTAAGCTTTCCTCTCTAAGAGCATTATTCCTCCTCGATGAACGCGAAGACCCGAGAAATTACTGGAGTTTGCGTCTTCCGGTTGGCCGACTTCACGATTCTCTCTGAAAAGTATTTCAAGAATCAACGCGAACGTGAAACTCGAGCCAGTTTTGGTTCCAATGATTTCTCGAGGTATTCCATCGACCGTCTGAACTCCCGTTTCCGGTTTGCACTTATTGGACGCGGGCGGGGTTCCAAGGACCAAGGTTACGGTACACAACAATCAAGGGGAAACTTGTCGACATCGAACATACAGGGTCACAGACAGACGGATCGTGACTTCTAAAGGGTTGGAAAACAGAGAGATTCGAGGGGGTTGTTTCAGCTTCGTAGTATTATTCTATGTTTCTTTCGTGAATATTATTTTCTCCTCCTGAAATCTCTCGTTCAGGGAAACGTACTTAATCTCAGGATAGTCTGTCCGCATCGATTGCACTGGATTTCAAACAGAACATATACGCGACGGGTCGAGCGAAGATTGTTCTCCGTTTTTTACTGGGATTTCATGATACTAAAATTGTGAGGAATTGATTGATGGTAAGAAGCGTTTAAATTAATGCTATTTTTGATTTATTTTGTCGAATACAACTCGTCGTTTATGCGTTCCATAGAACTCAATTTAGACAGCATTGATTTAAGGCCCAGCTATATTAAAGGACGTTTCTATTTGTATACCTGGATAGGATGAGTGAGCTAATTTAGTTGCAAGGTTTTGTTAACATTGAAAACATCAGGGACTTCGAGTGATAGTGGATGGTTACGTTTGTATTGTCCTTTTCTCTTGTTCTTTTGTGTTCTTTTCAAATGTACACAGAAGAGAATGTAAACTTTCTTCTTTCACTTTACGGAGTAAGACGTTTTATAGGTCAATATTGTCCTTGAAATAGGAGGATTCGAAGCGCGAAGTTGCATGATTCGTACAACCGAATGGATGCTGTGAAATAACTTTCCTCGAGGTCAAACTCTATTTTACCAAAAATATTTAGTTCGTGTTGGTGAATCTTTTAAAATTCCGTATATATTCCATTTTATGGCAACGTACAGCGTTAGTAATTTTCATTTGAAATTTAAATACTTCAATTAAGTAAATTTCAGAATTCATTTACTATTTTCAATTTTGGACATCTCTTAGAACAAAATAGAAATCTTCCTTTTTCTAGATACCATGTATAAAAAATTCCTGTTTTCTCCGTGATTTTTCATTTAATTTCCATAACACGATCGAGTTGTTCTCGAGAAATTTCTTTAACTCTTCGCGTGTATACGCGAGGTCCGTAAGGGTGCGCGTGACGTAAGCGAACAGCTTTTCGAAACACGGCATCGTCTCGAATCCGCACGTAATCGTTGTTACATGCAATGTCGGATACAGAATTTGTCGTTGGAAATTCTTGTTGAAAACTTTGCCTTTCGACGCAATTAAGACGATTTCCAGGCCAGTGCGATTAAATGCTATTTAATTAAAAAAATTTATAGGCTAAATTTATTTCCGTTTTATTTCACGCCCCTTTAAGTTAACTTTGAACACGTTAATCGAAAAGAAATTACAAACGAAAGGTTACACAAAAAACCTTTGCGTCAAACGAATAACGATTTCGCGTAGCTTTTGGTTCAGATCGAATGCGCGTTCGCGGCACACTTTTGCTAGTATGTAATTGAAAACGTTCGAAGAATAATCCTTTAATAAGTTACCGTGGAAACGTTCCACGTGGGAAAAGCGATTCCATACCCGAAAAAACAAAAGATTACGTTACGGGATACTATTGTGAAAAAACCAAAGAGAACGCCCGACTTTCGCCAGCGTTTATCACTGACAGTGGTACGTTGTACTAGAACGAAACGAAAGAAAATACGGATCGATTGTTTCAATTGCGAATGTCTAAATTTGTTTAGTCACTCGTAATTCCACTGGGCTTGTTATTTCTGTTGCCAAGAAAAGGTCCACAGAGTGGAACGTAATTTTGTATTAAAGAAGAAGGCTGATTTCTTGTATAAACGTACCGGGTAAAAGAAAACTTGCACGAGGAAAGTTTCATTTTTAGGAAAATTGCGTTTGCTTTCTATCGATTTTATGAAAAATTCAATTTTCTAACACATATCAACGCAAGGAACGCTTGTTAAGGAAGAGATATTAAATTATATAGATTTTCTTCCATGTTCTCAATAAAATACAGCAGACGTTACACTGATAAAACCGGCGACAGGCAACAGCACCCATTCGAATTTCAAATTTTCTCTTCAAATGTTCGTTCGACCCGTCGGCGATTGGCTATTCGGTAAAAGTTCAATTCTCGCGACACGTAAAACTGCAGCCGTGGTTTCCCCGGGAGGTACTCGGTATTTTCACATTTCGCGAAGTCTTGACCGTAAAATGGCGACGCAAATGTTTTTACAGCACAATGCCGGCGAGCGATAAAAGCGGAGGAACGCGTTTAAATGCTTCTCCAACGACTCCGCTACTGTATCAAATCCACAAATGTACCTTTTTAAAACCCATTTCATTTTCAATGGTCACCTTGTTACATCGATCATCACAAAGCCATTTGATTTTTTCATCACGACTTTCATCGCGTGATTCATTGTTTTAATAAAAAGTGACGCCATTGTTTTCTTTTTTTCAGGAGTACGCATTGTCCGAGATTGAATCGCTGTAACGATTCAAAAACCAATTTGATCGAGGACCATTCAATGGTAACAAACGTTTCTAATTTCCTCAAGTTGTTTTGCATCGGCATTTCACGGTAAATCGCGCGGTGCACTTCCGGTCTGTTGGAAATACAACGTTCGACGACGAAAAATTTGGAAACGTTGAACGAGCATACTTTGCGAAGCACTAGTACAAATAGTGGTGGTCAGTTAACAGACGATTTTCAATAATTTTCAATAAATCACTCTGCAACATGAAATTTCATTAAATATCCCATTTAGCAGGAATTGAAATAACAAATGTGTAGAAGTTTCACATTAATTCTTTAAAATCCATTCGGTCAATTGCGTGTTCCATTTGACTTCGAAGGGAAAGTAGAGAGGAATTTATCGCGAAATCGTCTGTAACGACCCTCTGGAAGAATCTTGGGTTACCGAAAAACGACGCAACACCGAAACGCAGTACACGCAATCAGGTTGCACGACGAGAAGTGCCGTTCGATCCGAACTACCCTCGAGAGATGTGTGTTTCTTGAAATTTACGTTATCCCTCAAAATGTCTAAGTACCATTCGATCGTTTCACGAGAACGTCTCTCGAAGGTGATAAGAGCGGCACAACAGATATCGATTTCGCGACAGAAAAGCCTCGCATTTCCGACGTCATCGTTTTGCTGAAATTGAATTCGAACAGGAATGCACAGGTCGAGTTCAACAAGAATTCGGTATCATTTTTTTCAATAAAAATACACGGAGCACAACAGGATATTTTTCCATGAAAAATAATGAATGATCAGAGAGAACAGAGTCGATCGGGTCAATTAAAAATTTGCAGATTATTGAAACAGAAAAGGATTTGCACATCACAAGTTTTCTTCATTTTATTGTTTGCCACGAGGACACAAACGGAATAGCATATATTGAGGAAGAAGGAGAAACAGCACACTTCGACGAGTCGACAGGACAAAAAGCACTGGACACACGAAGCTTTAGGTATCGTCAGTCGTGGTCGTCGACTTTCTTATTTACTTGTACTACTTGCTACTCTCAAAACGAAGATTACTAAGTAATTGATACCATTTATCACAAAAAACAATGTTTGCTTGAAAAATCGAACAGTGATGATAAATCTGAAATATTCAGAATGCTTGATTCATCCACGTCGGGCAATCGGAGTGATCGATGCAGATTCTTTAAACCATGAACTTTCCCATAAAACATTTTCATGGAGTATCGCAGCCTGTGATCTACGAAATTATTTCCTCGACATGTAATGCTTCACTCGATCGATACACAGAAGCTTTCAAGCTAAGAGGCTTTAATTTAAAAAAGAAATTCATATCGGATAGTTACTTAAAAGGAAGGAAATATTTATTAACCAAATTATGCAATATCTGATTTCAAAGTACACGAAAATATTCGACGACCATGATAAAAACGACAGCATAACGACGACGTCGACGAGGATAATGCAGGAAAAAGGAGCGACGACGACGATTACCCGTGAAAATGGCACCGTCGTCGCGCTTGTTAATTTCACGAATATCAACGGACCAGACAACGTACATTCATAGATACGTGTACGTATTCACGCGTTTTGTATACGCGTACATATCTATGTATGCGTGAACGCGAGAACATTGCCGTTCGTTAAGATTAATGGACAATTAATTGATTACGTACCAGCTCGGAGACCAATGGCACCGACTTTCGGCGCGGTCGAATGTCCGGCATGCTGTCGATGTTGCTGTAGAAAGGATTGTCCCCGAGATGTCTGCAAAAAAATAATAAATAAATTATATTAATAAAACATTGCAATAAATTTGTTACTTTTTGGCTAGACCAAGAGTATTATCCTTTGAAGAACCCTCTCAAAGTCCTTACACATTGATACAAGGAGGAAAGAACACTTAGTCAAATAAATGGTTGGAAAAACATGGTAGTCTGCCATTAAAAAATCTCAGATTACGACGTTACCCTCAATAAAGCAATTTAGGGTCACTAAAGCGTTTACGATCCTCGTGTACTTAATTTTCTTTACAACCTTGTTAAAATGCTTTATTCCTGCATGTATGCCCTCAAAATATACGGAATTATTTAATATTTTTGAGAAGATTATTCATTAAGAATATACCCACTGGGAAAATACGTCAAACATTCATGATCGAACCATGATATTCAAAGGATCCTCCATTATATAAGCCAAGTAATCAGGTAATCAAACTGATAAGACATTGGAGCCGTTAATAATTGGTTCGTTGTTAAAATGAGGACCTCGATCGTGGCACGATCGCGTGTCAGGAAGCATCTGATCTCGATAAATCTTTCCTGAGTTAGGCCCGAGGTTGAATCGATATTAGATTGAAAGTAATCGAACTTCCGAATTAAATTGGAAAGTTCGTCATTGAAGATCCAATGGAAGTTTTAAGGAACCTTAAACCGCGCACTTAACCGATATCCTTCTTTTCATCATCCTTATAAAGCTCTTTTTAATCACTGCTCGAGATTAGAATAAATTTACGTGACAAAAAAAAACGTCCTACCTCTTCTCGTCAGAATTTAATCCTTTCCTTGCATGAGGAAATGAATTAATTAATATAATAAACGGCTCTTGAAAAACCACGAGAAGTTGTGTACCGATAGCATCGTTTATCGTTTCTGCTGAACGATGACCTAATTTCAGCTGAGTTCACGTTTAATTACACCAAACTGCTTCGTAGATCTGCGAATTAACGTCTGACAAGGACAGCTCCGTTAAGTATGGTGTAACGTAATCCATCACTCGGAGATGTCTCATCCCATTATTATCTTCTCTTTTTAATCTCCTCATTTTTTTTATCGAATCAGATGAGAGTACCCTATTATCCAGACTGATAGTCTTCGTTTATTTGGAATTTATTTAGGTCACTCTAATTTATTTTTACAGCAAATTCTTAGAGATAAATTTTACAACCGAGTCCTTGGAAGGTACCTTCGGTGAATCGATCGAGCGTTTAATCAGTAATTTCGTGCGATCGACTATACGCTGAACAAAGACACGATCAGGTTTTACGATAAAAGAATTACACGAATCGCCGTGGTTCTCATTTCCAACATTTGATTTAACAGAGAGAAATCGAACGAGGTTCGTTAAATTAGGTTAAATTCGCGATGGGGTTGGACCTAACTCGTAAGAATTAAAAGGTACTTTCAACGTTGACCCCTTTCAAAAGGCCTGCAACACGTCGAAGATACTGGTTTTTATGTCAATTGCTATTGAGATCAAAGCTCTGTTCCCCAGCTTTGTTCTGGAATCGAGGAAAAAGCGAGATACCATTTCTGCGAAACACTGGACGAGGTTGAATTGAACGCTTTTCACGGGATAATTGCTGAAAATTAAAGTTCCGCGGGTCTTGTATCAGTACATTTCGAAGAAATGTGAAACGAGAACGAGGGGAAGTTATTAAAAACGTGTTCCCTTTAAAAACTCTTTTTTCACTACAAATTACTTTCTCATCTAATATTATTCGTTACACCCTTGAATGAATAATTATAATATTGAACTCACCCGTTGCCTCGTCCCCCGGATTCGCCACCAGGTCCGCTGCCGTTCTAACAAACAAAAAAACAAGTTTATTAAAAAACAAGCCTAGTAACAGTTCGAAAAAACCAAAGGGAGAACGCGCGAACGATACGGCGCAGGCTTACGAAAAAATATTGTACACAGTCTTTGGAGACGCGTGGCCATCGGAATTGCAGGAGGAAATCGATTCTTTATCGATGATCGTTCGTCAGATTTAGTTGGGCGAAAGGAAATCAAGTAATTTCCTCGAGTTTCCCATGGCCACGCACGCACAATGCTTTGTCCCGTACACAAATCAGTCTCTTTTCGTCGACTTAAGGGTAAGAAAAGCTCCGATGAAACAGAATCGAGTGCAGAGATCAGGGACTCGAGAGGAAGAGCAGAGGGTGATGGCTTGCAGCGACCATCTTTCTCCCCGACATTGCTCTGGGCAATGACTAGGAAAGGGAAGAAATTCTCGTTGTTTTCAACCGTCTACCTCTCTTCGTCTTCTTTCTACCCCCTACCTTTTTATTCCTTTTCTCACCGCTGTCTCTCCTGTCTCGACCACCCTTTCGCAGCTGTTGACTCAGATTAAAACCTTCCTTCCTCGTGACCGTTTTCTTCCCAACCTTGTCACCTCTCCTTCCATTCTTCCTCCATTGTTCGTCGACTGCTTTTTCCGCACGCGAATTCTACTCGGCTATCCAACACCCCAGTTAAATGTACCAGGATGGAAACAGCGACTCCTGCCCCGATCTTCATTTTCGTTCCGGGCAACACTCGTTTCTGATATCTTCATCAAAACCTGCATCTTCGTTGCTCTTTCGCACCCCCTTTTTACTAGCACTTCTTTTAACACGTTCGCTGCCATCGCCGATATACAGATATCTTGTTCTATATACTGGGAGCAGACAGGTTGTCTGCTCACGCAATATCGCGTGCTAGAGTGGCAACGCTAAATGCTCGCTCACACGGTATCTCGTGTTTAATCGTTAACGCTGAATGTCCGATTGCGTGCTTGATCAACGCTAAATATCCGCTCACGCAGTATCGCGTGCTTGATTATGAAATCTTAAACGTTGCGGTACGTAGCAACTATTCGAGATTCGCTTCTCGAGTTTGGCAGTGAACGTGTCAAAGAAGTTCCATTTAATTGAAATTGATTGGAAGGTAATTGTTACACTTTCATCCCTTCTGGTTTCTTCCTCTCGCTCTCCCTTCTCTATTTCTCTTTCTCTTTTCTTCGCGCTTGCATTTGCCTGCGCCTACTCTCTTTCTCTCTCTCACTCTCTCTCTCTCTTTTTCTTTCTCTCTCTCTCTCTCTCTCTCTCTCTGTCTCTCTCGTTCGCCCGATGTCGCACGGAGGAATGGAAGATTGGAGACAGTGTGTAACAGCCCGTATAAATATAATATCACGTACAATACTCGTAAATTTTGTCACGATAGAGATACAATATAAACTTATGGATAGCGTAACAAGTATAAGTGTATTTAGAGTTAGAGCCGCAGGTATCTGCTTCGTCCCTTTTAATACGCCATTTCGTTCTGTTCGACCCTTATCCTCTCTGTTATTTACCTGTTCCTCTCCTAATTCTCGCTTGTTCGAGATTGAGAACAGTCTTGCGTAAAAGGGGATTCCTTTTTCACCCGAGAAGCTTACTTAGACAACATATTGGAGCACGAGAATTCTTTCGACCTTCTTTTTACCCCTCTTCGTTCATTTGTTTGCTTGTATCCGTTCACATTTAGCCACGAAGTGGGCGCCTTCGAGGGTGTCTCCTGAATTTTTTTTATGGAGATTTATTTTTATCATGACAACGAGAATTTTGTTCGAAAGCTTAGCAGAAATAGAATGTGAATTATCACTGTTCCTTGGATTTAGAGATTCGATAATCTTTTATTTTTAGGTAAAAAAGAATATTTAAATTAACGCTTTGATATCTTCCAGGTTAATTGTATAACGATCAAAATTCATTTCGAAATTGATATTTTAATTGTGTCAATTGAATATTACTGTAGGTTCAAAACTCTGCTCCATATTTTCGTGGAAATTCTGTTATATTGGCAAATTATTATTACCTGTCAAAGAGCGTCCCCCTTTGTCCTTTAATATCGATAATTGACAAAATGTCACTTCCAATGAAAATCACGTTCGAACTCGAGAGACAGCAAAAATACATCAATTATTTCAGTGTGTAAAATTGATTGAACCTAAATTATTAGTAATGTTCATTAAAATAAAATAGCGAAATTTTGCGAAAGAAGACTATTATGGAGGAAACGAAGACACGCTCGAAGGCATGCGTTAAGTTACAACTGAGTTAATTACTACAAGTATACAACCTACGTGGAATAGCATCGCTTCGCGAGTATAATTCTGACAAGCGTTTAATCAACAACGAAAATACCGTGTAGTTATACACCGCTAACAAGTTGCCAATTTCTTTTCATCTATACTGCTTAGGCCTTAAGAAACGTTACTTTTCCTTGCTTATCGTACACCCGATCAGCCTAGAATCTCGCTAAATCGATAAGCCTTAATGAGATCGCTTATGACTCGACCAACACGGAGTTTTCTTTCTCCGTTTGTCGACGATACAATGAACGCTTAAAAAATGACGAACGACATCGATGATATGAAATTGTGAGATAAAACATGACAATCTCGACGAGACAACGCGATGCAATCACGCTATAATTTTAATTACCCAGTGTACGATCGTGTCATTCTTCAATTTCCTATTTTACAACATTAATCTAGAAAAGAAATTTTCTTTAACTTTTAAGCTATCAAGAATTCTTAATTTTCGAATCATCCGAAGTATTTTCTTGTTTCAGAAATCTTTATCATCGCAGTGTCTCGGCGAGGTGACATTCGTGATAAAGCTTTGCGAGTTGTTATCATTCACCTGACCTCCATAATCTTTAAAGGGTTATTTTAAGAAGAGATTGAGCGATGGACGACGATGGATGGTCAAAGTTCCACTGCGAAGATTTTCAAGATACACAGTTTTTGAAAACCCGCAGCTCGATGATATGTGAGTAGATTGATACGTCGAGAATGATATGCATACGAGAAATCGGATCGATTCGCGACCCGATACGTCTGTGCTCGCGAGGCCGATTTAAATGGAAGCTCGTCGGGATAGAGGTGGATGAGATACCTGAGGTAGAATAAATTGCAAGGCAGAAATGAGAGACGTCCTGAGTAAACGAGACGTGAAAGAGGAATTGAGACAGGCGGGCTTGAATATGAAATGTTCGGTGAATGGAGAAGGATGTTGGAAGAAACGGGAGGAGAGAATTGGATGAACGGAAGAAAGGAACAAGTGACCCAGAATACGGTACGGATGTAGAGAAAGCAAGAGTACAACTTATAACGAGAAGGGTAGAAAAGGTTGCAGAAGAAGTTTGGAAGAGGGCGAAGAAAAAGAAATTAGATATGTGCGGGAAGTGTTTTCCTCTTGAAAACAAAGCAAAATGTGACCAAGAGGAACTAAAATAAAGTAGAACAGTAATAAACAGCAGGAAAAGTAAAGAAAACATAGCTGAACAAAGACTATAAAGCAAAAAGAGAAACATACAAAAATAAGAAAACAAGAAGAGAAGTTAAGGAAGAAGTTAAATGTAGCACACACGAAATTCTCCACACCAGGTATACAAAATATCCAAATAAAATTTAAAAAAAAAAAAGAAGAAAGAGAGAACAGTGATGCATGAATTGCACGAAAGAGGATTAAGAAGTCATAGTGGAGAATAGGTGAACGATAACAAGCACGCGTACGCGTGTTCCCATGATAACGCGGCCTCCATGATACACGCGTGCCAGATATGTCGAGCCGTATGCGTGTAACGACGATAGTAACAGTGTGCGTGGCTAATTGTGCTAACGATCAGTTACAGATCCACAAAGTGAACAATCCTATCCCACGCCCTAGCCCTGTCCCTGTCATTCCACGCTGCGGTTTATCCGCGCGAGCGTTCGAGTGCGCAGTCCGAACACGCAGCGAATAAAATGCGGCTTAACCGCTCGTTAAATTCGCGCCGAATGCGTCGGTGATAAGCCGTTTTATGCAGCTGACAAGATAACGTTGGACTACGCCCGTGCACACGTGTGTACACCTCGTGCACACCTATGAACGCTCGTTAACGTTCAACAACAACGCGTTATTCCGCAGTTAAATGACGCTGAACGTGGCTCGAATTTTACTCGTATACAATATTTCTGCGAATCCCACTTGATCATTGTGTTTCCAACTAAATCTGTGATTTTCACGCACGTTTAGAGTAACGACGCGTAAGTTGCATTTGTATGTTGTGCATTTAAAGGAGGGATGTTATTCCATGGTTAATTAAAGAGGGCTCTTTGTGGTGGATTAGTAAACGAAGTATGAAAATCAATGGTTCGAATTGATTTGATTTCGATCATTTAGTGTGATTGAAGTTCGTGTAATTTTTAAAGGATAAAATCGATGAAATATTGTACACCACTAAAGTCTCGTCCCGTGTCATTGCTTTCTTGTTCTTGTCCCCCTACGCTTCCCTTATCAGACCTTATCCCTATAAAGCTTAATTCTATCCAGTGTGGAATAGTTTTAGAATTCGATGAATTGCAGCGTTCGAAGCTATAAAGAAGATTCGCTTATAAAAATTGTTGCTGAACAAGTGGAGCCTGCTAGCAGTTAATGTAAAGTGTAGAATGTTGCTCGAAATTTCTGTCGTGTGAACTACATTCTTGAATCATCGTTACGCGTCGTCAGCCACATCCGAGGAACGATACATCTTTAATAAAATCTTGGTACGTTTCTGTGAGATGAGATATCCGGGATACCTTCTACATGATTACGTATCCATTTCAATATTCGACTTTTTCGTATAAAAAGACGTGTACATTGTTAGCAAATATGGTGATCGTGAAAAACGATATCCGGTAAAAAGGATGTCGCAACAAGAGAGTCAAAGATTTGGAAAAAACGTTCCTTTGGTCGTGTAGAAAATTTTTCCAATAATAAAATGTAGAAGACTCTTCAATAGGGCTTAACAAGAC